CTTCTATGAATGGTATTTGAAATAAATCTTAATAATTATACTCTATTGTAATCGATATTTGGCAGAACAATGCCTGCAAAAATAAGTAAGGGTTCGTTGAAAAGAAATTTGGCGCCCGGAGTGAGTTTTGCGGGCACGAGAGGGTTGACCTTCCGCAAGTGTTTCGTTTCCTGTCAAAAGTTTTATGAGTTTGACGGAACGTTTGGCCCGACGATCGAGAAGTCGGAAATTTTTCGCGTCAGGATCCGGGACAAAGAGTCGCGCTAAATACCAAGGGTTCAGCGAAGGATCGAACGCTCGGAACGCTTCGGCTAGTATAGTTCTTTTCGTTTTTTTTTTTTTTTTGTGACTCACCGATCGAGCACGGGCAAATGGTTCCCGACAAGTCGCTCGGCGGCTGAATAGAAGGCTTTTCATCGAGCGCGAGCGAAATGGTCGCTCGCTTATTTTAATTCCCGCGGAGTTCCGCACGTACGTCTACGACCCGTTACGGCCGGCATAACAATGCATGACGTAACACTCTGGGGTCGAATCCTCCTTACCTCCTCCGTGCAACGATGTTACAGGAAAGTGAAACTCTCGGAAACCAGGTCACACCCACATCGTGCTCGCAGCAGTGAACCGCGATGCCGATCTACGAGACTCCCCTTTTAACTCGTGGCCAGATACTTTTCAATCCGGCTAGAAGAGAACAGGCAGGGGAACTCGAGGACGGACGAATGGAAAGAACCTTTCAAGATGGTTCCTCGTACGTTCCTCGAAAGTGTGACCCCAAATATCGCTCGCTTGGGACGCCAAGAGTTTGGAATCGAAAATGTCTCTGCTAGACGTTAGAGAGTACCATTTATCCACAATATTATAGCATCTATTTCTAAAAAATATTCAGTATAAATACCACTGCACTTCGCATTGTATATTTCCAACGATTCGTGCCAAACCTGAAAGGCTCCCAGTGTGTCGTTACAGGGTTGAATAATTTTATTTCGAAGATGTTGAACGTAACGCAGAGGAACGGAGACCTTCTTGACGGTTTAAAATGCAAAAATCCCGGTAAAACAGAATCCACGAGTCGGAATAGGTTCGCGTTCGGAGCAAGGGAAAAAGAAGCGTGTGCGGGCGCGGGTGCGTGGGTGAGGAACGGTGTTGGTAGAGCTGGCCCTAACCCATATACCGTCGGAGCCAGAATAGAGACGAATAATAGAAGGGTGGATAATAATACCGGTGCCAGCGTGTCGCTAATAACGTCGACATTGTCAAAACCGATGATTTCGAGTATGGGGAAAGCACTTTCGACAAGGCGGGGGAGGGTCTGCTCGTCCGTGAAATTCGTGGTACGGAATAACGATGAACCCTTCGCTTCGCGGCGTTCGCGGTGGCTGTCATTCGCGAAACGCGCGAGCGATTAATCGACCCTCGAGATGCTGGAATGCCGTTTCCATATTTTCGAGGCGGATGCCTGGCATAGTTTCGCTCGTGTCGGACGGTCGGGTCACACACGGTAGTCGTATTCTCAGCTAATCGTCTCTCCTGAAATCCGCGCTACGGACGAGCGGCTGTCGTTGGCAGAGCTTGTGTCTAAAACTAGCGACGACCGCGACATGTGCACGTAGACAACCCGGCGTCAAAACTCGTCGTATTATGTCATAGTTTTAATGCGGCGTCGAGCTGCATTCGACGTCCTTCTGACTCCTAACGCGGAACGGAAGCGTATTCGTCTCGCTTCTTTTCCGTCATCGACGCCTCGGAGCGGATCATCCAGCGGCGACGCAACGACTCCTCGGGAACATCTACTGCGCGATTATGTAACGTTTAGGGTAATTAAAGTATCGATTAGTCCGCGGCAGGTGTGTCAACATCGCGCGACCGTCATGAAACTGAACGGGAGACTCCGCGCCCCATTAGACCGACGATCGCTGGAACAAGAACTTGATTCCGCTCGTTCGAACAGCCTCCATCGTCCCGTCTAACAAGGAACGTTACTTAACCATAACGCGCGACGGTTCTCTTAAAAATATTTGACTAGCGTCACGAACTGTTTCTTTCTACTTAAAGGAGCAGAGGGATAGTCGTTCAAACGCATCTTCACATTAGCATATAAAAAATTACTCGTGTAATTGAATTCTCGTCAGAAAGTATAGAATTTTTCGGAATATCGAGGCAGACATGTTTTCATCCCCTAAATACGGATCGTCGCGGACGAAGGAAAATGTGTATTTGTTTAAAAACTATTTCGTACGCGAATCATTTTACATTTAAACGACGTCCCTTGTCGATGGAGAATTTCTTCCGGAAAGTGGAAGGTCGAGCATCCCGGAAGCTGTTTTCACGTCGCATATTTATATCTCGGAGCGTTCTTCAGCCCTGAGACAAGTTGACGTAAACTAACGACTAATTACGTTGCCCTCTTACCGTCGGATGGACCGCAACGCGTTGCCAAGTGAACCGTAACTTTCGCAGAATGCATCCTGGTCCTAGCTTTGACGAGAGATCTAAGTTTGGGAGCTTCTCGCTTCCACGGGAATACAAAGTTTTTTCGGGACTAGAGCATTTGGGGAGTTCGATGTTCTTCGAAAATCTCAAGTATCTAGGAGCTTTTAACGATTTCTTCGTGTTAATGGCCCCTCGTCGAAACTTTCAGAATTTTAATTGCGTCCGTCGTTGATATATCGGAGGTACAATGTCGTTTTCACTTGGACGATAAGATCCGCTCGCGAAACGTTCTTTCACCCCCGGGGCGATATTTTTACGACGCTCTCGAAAATGTGAGGCATGCGTCGGAAACTAGTAGCAGATACGTATCACGGATATTTGCATATTTATCTATCGAAACGTCTGTGGTAACGTCTGTGCAAGCAGTGGATTACATCCCGTCATTGAATCGTTAATAACGTCTATTTAGAGCGCTGGCAATCAGGAAGTATTAATCAACGTTATCAAATAAAACGTAAGTTTTCTCGAGATCTTTTATAACCGCGTCACACGAGAGCAAACACGCATACGCGAAAGCACGACATTGTTCAACAAGTTCGAGAACCTGTTGATCGACGGGGCCACGTGTTTCGCACCGACTCCGCTCGTCTCTTCCAACTCCAGACTTCGATCGTCAAACTTCAGTTTTCTTGAACGATCTATTGCTCGACGCGAACTATTCGTTCCGAGGAAAAGAATTAAACGCTCGATAGTCGACACGCGGAAATCTCGTGTTGCGATTCTTTTTGCATCGGAGTATGAAAAACTCGTTTGGCTGATTACACACCGGGATCGTTCGTTTCCTTGCGCGCGAACGCCTATGATCGTTTGTGCTCGTAGAACGCGTATCCTGTTCCACGAGAGCGCAGTAGAAACGCGACGGTCGTCACAATGGTGTTAATCTATTTATCTGACTAACAACAAACTTATCTCGTGACTCATTGGCCGCGGATCCGCGCGACCGATCGCTTTCCACGCGCGTGTGTACGTGCAACGACAGGCTCAATTTTTACCACCGGATCAACGATTGACAGCTTTATTGTCTTTTGCTCGTCGCGTCGCAGAAGCATCGCTCCCTTAAACGATCGTTCGTATTTTCACGATTTTTCATCGTAGCGTTCCGATACGATTCACAAAGGGGCGCTGTCATTTTCAAGCCTGGAAACTATTGATCGATCGTTTTGTTTTTATATCGCGATGATCAGATGCAAGGCGCGATAAGTGCTTATTGCGTCAATTGGACGGAGCATTCTTCTGGCCCTAACAGTTTAGGATATCGTATCTTTTATAAGTAGCATTCCCAACGACAACGACGTTTGTTAGCATCACGGTCCTCGAAATGGAGATTCTTGTTAGGTGAGATGGGGGTATCTTGAATTCAGGAGTACCGGTGAGTTCGTGGCGACTCAAGATTTCGCGTCAGTTACTACGTTTTATCATTCTGAAGAGTTTCGTCATTTCCCGTCCGCTTTCACCGGCCCTGGTTACAACCTGTTGAAGCGACAGCTGAAAAGAGAAGGCGGGCTTCCGTGGAGGGTGAACAAAGAACGCTTGCAGCTTTTTATATCAAAATATATTTGTGCATAGACAAGAAGACAACCGTGACAGGTAATCTCGTACCTAACATACATCAGTCATACGCCAAGGAACGCGTGCACGTGTACTGTAACTCGCACGCTCGTTGTGCGGGCATGCGTTTTGTGCGCGGGCATGCACGCACGGGTGATGTACGCGTGCACACGTTTGTTTGAGTCGTGCAATCACCGAGAGACCCGACAATAGTCTTAGAAGAAAAGGACAAAAAAAAAAAAAGAAAAATAAAGAAAAAAAAAACATTAAACTTGTCGCACAAGTACGTATATAAGGTAGTAACAAATATCGTTCTCTCGCACGCGATCGAATCTACGAACGAAAAAGGACGAAAAAAAAGAAGATAATAATGAAATGAAGCCCGCTTCACGCGATTTTACGGTAACTCAAAGGTGAAGGGACTCGGTTGGACCGAATCCCTGGTAACGTCGGCGAAATATATATACATTTATATATATATATATTTCTCTATCTCTCTCTCTCTCTCTCTCTCTCTCCCCCCATCTCGCCGTAATCTCTAGCATGCGTTCGCACTTAAAATGTATAACTAAAACGGTTCGGTTTGTTGGACACATGCGCGCTCACACATTCGACATATAATTTTCTCCTCTTTTGCTCTTTCACGCTCACTCTTTCACTCTCTTTCTCTCTCTCCCTGGCGCACAAAACACGAGCGTATCGTTTCTCTAACAAAATATATTAGCTTTTTTTATGTACATACATCTCGAATATAATAAAATTAATATAGAGCTATAATACAAGGGCGTGTAAGAGTTTTTTTCTTTTCGATTTTTTTATTTCTTTCCTCGTTTGTTCTGGATGTTCGCGTGATCGCCCTGTCGAGAAACACGACGCGCGAATCGAGAAAATTTCGCGTCGTCGTCGTCGTCGTCGTCGTCGTCGCATCGATACTGATACATCGCGGTTACGGTATCTCGGTATGCCTTTTAATTTTTTTTTTTTTTCTTTTTAGGTACTTGGTAATGAGAACAATAATCTAATTAAATCGATCGATATCTAAGAACGAATCTGAACGCAACGCACGGTACGCGAGCATCGCATCATCGTCGTCGTCGTCGCGCTTTGTACGTTTCCCAAGTGTGCGCGTGTGTGTATATGCGTGTACGCGTATACGATCGGTGGAAGATGCATCAAAAATGTGTACCGTCGAGAGAATTCTTAGATTTATGCGGACGAGCTTACGTATGCGTACGCAGTACCCGCGTATCCGCGTATGCGTTAGTTCACGTACGCGTGCTCGTGTGTCTGCGAGAGCGTGATCGATGCGCTTGTACAAGATCGACGCGTGATTTGTTCAGAGTCGTAACGCGTCACCGTGTTGCGAATTACGCGCGATCTAACAGGCGGTGGCGAACCCCGCGAGACACACGTGGCACGCGAACCACCCAGTCTTTTACGTACTTGCAAAAGGTAGATACGAAAATAGTAGGGACGAAAAATGGGGGAAGAACGAATTCGGACCGCCATTCTCGGTCAATTTTTCACCTATCTCTCTGGCGCGTCGCGGAATACGCCGCGAGCTATTTGCCTCCGTTCTATTCGTTCGTTTCCGCTTTCGTGCGGGCGAAAAAAAGGGGAAAAGTGTCCGGTGCACTCGGTGTAAACAGTTCGCCACGAGCATAGGCACACTTTTCTTCCACGCGAAGTTGTCGACTAAGCTCCAGCTGCCGGAAAGCTCTCCCCCGGGGGGCCACCGTCGAACGGAACTCTCTTCCACAAGCTGGTCACGCCTCTTGCTTCTCGTATTCTCCTTCGCTGGCTTCGTTCCTCGCCCTCTCACCGTTCTCCATTGCCTCCGCGTCTATTCTACTATCCGCTAACGCGTAGCTCTCTCGAACTACGCACGTGCACCACGCGTTCTCCACTCGTTGAACGAGACAAAGACGCGGTGACGTCGACGGTACGAACCGCGACGTTTTCTAAACGCGCGTATCTCTCTATTTTTCTGTGCTTTTGCAACGCTGGCGAAAGTATCGAGAAGGCGCGAGATGATCTGGTCCCAGGAAGCCGGAAGTCCCGCTCGCATCGAATCCCCCTCACAATCGTATCGGGCCGAAAGGCAAGGGACGAAGGTCGACGGTGGACGAGAGAAAGGCACGATAGCCGCGACGCGACGCCATCGCGTCGCTCGAGGACGACTTCGTGCGCTACATGGGTCCTACCGCGTGTTGCTGGAACTGATCGAGGTGCCTGGAGATCTCGCGATGCAGCTGTTCGGGCACCACGCCGACGCTGCTGAACAGGGACCTGAGCACGTTCAGCTCCTCGGTGAGCAACTCGATCCTCTTTTTAAGCAGGTCGTTGTCCTTCACCAAAAGCTTCACCTTCTCCTCGGTTTCCCGCGATCGTACCTTCGCCTTCTCGCGGCTCTTCCTCACCGCTATGTTGTTCCTCTCGCGTCGTCTTCTGTACTCGTCGCTGGCTTTGTCGATAGCCTTGCTCTGTTTCCTGGCCGCTGCGGCCGCGGAGTTGGCGTGGTGCTGGTGCGCCATCACCGGCTTCATCGGGCCGCCCCGGGGCGGTGGTTGGTGCACGGGCGCACCCGGATGACCGCCGGGCACCGTGGACGGCGTCAGAGTGGTGAAGGTTGGCGCGCCGTTCGCGAACGGTCCATTGGTCACCGGACTGTATCCACCTGGTGGATACTGGGGGCAGTGACGACGATAATCCGCCGGGTCGAGGGGCTCCTCTTTGATGCTGGGCGACTCGGAGCTCGAGCTGTTGCTGTCGCTACAGCTGTTGCTGCCCTGATGGTAACTCGCCCCGCTGTGTACCGGTTGCGGCATGTAGGCCAACGTGGTGCGCGGGTAACCGGGCGTTCTGACATGTTTCACGGCTCCGTTGTTCGCGCCCAACATGTCCAACAGGCCGTCGTTGAAGTGGCTGTCGTCGATCAGGTGTTGCAGATCCAACGATATCTCCGGCGTGTTCAGGTCCGTCAGCTCGCCGGCCGCTGCGCAATGTTCCGCGTACTGTTGGTGAAGGCTAGCCTTGCTCGCCGAGACCTTGCTGACCACCGCGCTGGTCTGCTGCTGGCTGTGATTGTGATTCACCTGCAGCGCCGAGTTGTTGTTGTTCGCCGCGACGTTGTTGTTGTTGTTGTTGCTCGGATGATTGTTGTTGTTGTTGTTGAGTACTTGAGCCTTCTTGAGATCGGCCGCTCCATGGGCCTGGGCCTGATGGGCCGCTGAATCGTACATGACTGGTGACTCCATCGCTCACTCGCACATCACAGATACGCGATACAGTATATCCGCGATTCTATTATCACCCCACTTTCGCTACCCTCTCCGAGGTGTTCGAGGTTCCTTGATCGGTATTCGGCTCGACGACACGTTGCCCGAGGGAAACAGAGAGTCGAGGACGCGCGGTTGCGGGAACTTCACCGCGAGAACGACCTCGAACGGGGCGGTGCAAGCCGGGGATTTTCCCGTGCGCGGACGAGCTCGAGATCTGACACTGGTCCAAGAGTAGCAAAACGCGACCCTCGACTATTCCAATTTTCGAGGACGACGCGTCCGCGTCCGCGTCCCGCTATTTCTTTGCCGTCCTAAGCGGTGTCGCGCGATTTCTGACTCGCTGAAATCCGCGTGGCTCGTTTGCGCCAACGCGCGAATCTTCACCACGCCTACGCGGGCTTTTTCGTGCTCAACACGGTACACCACAGGGAACGACGAGAAAAACGAGAAAACGATACCACCCGCACGATAGCTGGCGCGCGACTGAGCCGCTTCGCGGCATGTCGCAAGCTTTCAATGTGGCGCGCGTCGAGAGCAACTCCATGCCTCATTGCGCTTGCGCTCGCGCTTCCCTCTAGCCGCCACCTAACCCCCCTCCGCCCCCTATCTCTTTCCTCTCGGTGCGATCCGCGTTAAGAGCGCGGATACCGCGCGTCCACCGTCCTACCCCTCCTCAACCCGTTCCTCGCACTCGATTCACTCTTTCCATCTCTCTTACACTCTTTTCTATCTTCGCCCCCACCTCCTCCTGGGCCCGCGATCTCTCTTTGTCCGTCTTACGGACTGACACGCTGTCGTCCCGTCGCGGCATCGCGCGACAGGAAAACTTTTCCGGTGCTCGCCTTTCTCGGTTCTATTTATATGAACTTATATACACGAACGCGGTCCCTTTCGACGGATGGATTTTCCCACAGAAAATGAAACTTTCCGCGCCCCCCTCAAAATTTGCCAAATTTTCCTTCCGAATAACGGATAAAAAATGTTGACTCGCGGCTTCGCTCGCCTGCACGTCGGTTTAAAATAACAGAGACGAATGCATCGCGTTTCCTGGTCGCGTCGGCTCTAAATCATTTTAGTCGGCCAAAAGAACTATTTAAACAAAATATCGTATAATTTAGATTCTCTAAGTAAATGTCCTCATCTATGATATAAAAACCGAATATTTGTATTGGTAAGAGCTGGCGCCATTAATCAATGTAAGGGCGCCCCATGTCCTTGAGTCGGCTTTGGTTACAGGGCCGTGGTTGGTCAGTTACTTGGGTTTTACCGAGCTTACGATTAGTCATCCGTCAATGCTGAGTTTTGTCTCCCTAGGTCCAACGAACTTCCGTATTCGCGCCTCGTTCGAGTAAATTGATTAGCTTATATCTCTTCCATTCCGACTATACCTACGAACATTGATCGGTCCCATCGACGACTCGATTTGTTTCGCGGGACGGTTAACCAACGATTACCGTCATCGTTGGCCACTCGATCGGAACCGATTTCTATGTAAGAGCGGACACATTCGATTTGTCAGCGCGTATGCTGATATCTGTCCAATTGCTTGCGTGAGATTGCGCAATTAGCGGCAACAAAGTGAGAGAGGATATTATCGGTAACGGGTGTAAGATCCTTTCTCACGGAATTCGTCGTCTTGAAACTCTTAACGAATTGTACACGATGCGTTTAAACATTATGGGTGAGATAGCAAGCAGCGAATGCGAAATCTAGAAACGAACTTAGGGTATAGTGTACTAGCGATTCGACGGTGTAATTAAAGTTCGCGGTTTCTAGCCTCGCAACGAGCTTCTGTTCCGGGAGAATGTGCCTTTTAATAACACACCTAGGAATGCATTTTATACGATGCGCTGACGTCGATATACAATTTTGGATTGACATTTATGAACCGAAAATTTCGAATGTTTCGGCGTGCGTGCGAAACAACGATCGCGGCGCCATCTTGCGAATGGAAACCAATCCAGTGGCGGTCGGTATAGAATTTCCAAACCGACTTACGACGGAAAGATCCGAATTCGACCGAATTTCTTCGACGTGATATTAGCCACAACAAAAAAAATCGTAACATTCGCGTAAAAACTTTTCGGCAGTGTATATATTTTTCGCGTTCCTTTTGTGATTCATCATTGGCCCCCGAAGATTCAGTGGTACGTTAAGCCGAGGTGAGTGATGAATTTCGTTAGGTTAATTTTCACGCGAGTTTCGCGTTGTTGGGGCTTACGAGTACCTTTGACGGGACGGTTCGTCGGATGTACGCGTATTGTTATGACAAAATGCAAATAACACGTCCCGCGAGGCGTTTTCGAATTCGTGGATAGAACGAGTCTGCGTCGTGATGCGACACATCTTCCTTTCCTTCGATATTCAGTTCAGTATACGCTCACGAACGCGTCGGATCCAAACTGTTGAATGTTTTCGGGCTTAACCTAGACGAAATCTGGTACACTAAATTCCGCGCGATAAAACGACGCTCTATATCGCAAACGTTTTAGAACGTCATTATTCGTGTCTCTGTCGACTAGTTCCAATGTAATTTCTATTTTCGATCGTGTAGGAAGGAATCGTTTTAGTTTGTCGCGTGTACGCGCGGTTCTCTCGTTATCACGTCTTTTCGATTCTTCTACTACCTGCCCTTATGTTCGTAATATTTATATAACGTCTCGTTTCGTACTGTTTATAAAGTTATGCTATCGTGGGTAATCTTTTCAGCTTACAAACTCAATCGAGGATTATTGGGACATTGGTTGTTAATAATGGCAGATGAACAGCAACAATTTTTTCTGAAATGGAACGATTTCCAATCTAATATGGTATCGTCGTTTAAACATTTACGAGATGAGAAAAGTTTCACAGATGTGACGTTAGCTTGTGATGGTCAAACCTGTAAAGCACATAAGATGGTGTTATCTGCCTGTAGTCCTTATTTTAAGTCTTTATTAGAGGTAGGTTGTTATTAGCATAGGTTGAATGCTGATTGTTTAGTATAAGATAGGTAATTATGGAATTGTTATAGGAAAATCCGTCCAAACACCCCATTATAATTCTAAAAGACGTCGCGTACAGCCATCTTCAAGCTATTTTAGAATTTATGTACGCAGGGGAAGTTAATGTTTCGCAAGATCAATTGCCAGCGTTTCTTAAAACTGCTGACCGACTCAAAGTCAAAGGCTTGGCAGAAGCACCAGGTGCCATTAAGAGAGAGGGTTAAAAATTGCACTTATAGTTATGGTAAGATATAGCATTTAGTTACGGTAGCATTAAATTATGATTCCATTGTATTTTCATACGAGGAATTTGTCCTTCCTCTTCCAGGATTTTGGGAAGCATGCGGACTGAACAAAAAAAAAAAAAAAAAAAGTGTAATAATGTAAAGTGATCGCGTAAAGACATATACCACACACTATAAAAACACACGCTATGTGTGCACAACTCAGTGTCCTCTGGTTCATGACTTGGATCAACACACAGCGACAATGTAAATTATGCCTTTTCTTAATCTCAGTTAATGTTAACGTTGTATTGAATGTATGTATACAAATACGGTAGAGATGAAATGTTGATGTTTGTCTTGAACCCATTGCGCCATAATGCGGTGGCAGCAATAACATTGATTATTTTTTTAAAACAAAGTGCTGCAAAAAAAAACTAATAAGTGGGTCACGATAGTTTACAATACATGCTGACGGGGCAGTTTTGTGGATCAAACGAAAATGTTAACAAACATCTTTACAACTACCTGATTTTTTAAAATGGATCTACCGACTCGCTATACTTTCTATCGGTGGTTTCACGGTAGATCTATTCGCAGAGTATCGAAATTTCTGGAGTCCGTACCAAATGCTAGCCGAGCCAAATATTTTTATTGGTAATTTACCGATCGAGGATCTAACAATTTTATTTTTCGTTGATTTTCAAAGAAGGAAATATACATGGATTAAAATTTTATGCTATAGTATTGTATAAGGTTTTGCTGATACATCGGTCGGGTACGACCAAAATGGTCGACCGACACATTTATTGGTATCGATTCGCACGAAATTTGGATCGTATCGTGACTAGATCTGCGACACCCCCGGTAATCCCTTCAAAGAATGTTAAATCAAATTTACTGGAAGTCGTAACGCGCGTGTCGTATATCGCTCTCTTTCGTTGTCCACTTGGTTTCGTTACATTACGTAGTTTCTCACTGCTGGTTATTCGCAATCGGAACGAAAACAATTGTTTCGCTCGTTTAAAATCTACTCGGAGCCAGTTACTTCTTCCAGTGATCGTGATTTTTTACTTAACCAAATACTGCCAGTATTTGTACCGGCGTATTCACAATATTACCGATAGACCAAATTTATTTATGATAATAATATATTAAGGGTTGAATGTCTTAAATCGAGGGAAGGTTATTGTAATATAAGCAAAGCAAATTTTTGTAAAGTCGGAGCGCACAGTTCCTTTCCTCTCCGAAAGAATCAGGATAATCAGAGAGATTTGCACACAAAACAGAAGTCAGGAAACATTATCGAGTCAAGAGTACATGCATTAACGCTCGATTTATGCAAGCTATTCTGTTATTAATTATATATTAAAATGTCCTATTGTTTTCATTCATATTTTCAAGTATTGACGTATTTCCTTAACGAGTTTGCAGTCCATATTATCTTTCGCTTCACTTTTCTTTCACTTTTTCTCGTAACGACACAAATCCGATTCTTGACTCCCGTTCACTTGTCACATTTCCTTGCAATGTATCATTCTCCTTCGTACCGAAATTGTTTTTAGCCCAAGTATTGTAAGATTCAGATTTCTGAGAAAGTCGAATACATTATTACGTCCGATGCGATCGATAAGTTTGTTCTAACAATGCGTATCACGGTATCTGAACTCGTCATTTAACGAGCACGAGCAGCTCTACGGCACCGAATCGTCGATTTAGAATCGACGATTTCGTGCCCTAGATTCCGACCACCCTGGAAACAAATTATGGTGTACAGGAATTTTTCTTTCGTAGCGTAGCTTTTATTTAATTTTTTGCGTCGGATGTTCTTGTGAATATCATCGTGATTGTACGATTATTAGGAAGCAGCGAGTTTCGAGCGAACAAAAAATAATCACCCTTGTCGTCAGCAAGGTTTGAACGAATCTAATAACAACCGTTGTTGCAATTAAGAATGACGAATGTACGAAATGGGACCAGCAGCAACTAAACGTCACGGTAATTGGAATTGACTTTATCAGTTTGCGTTAAAAGCCACGTATGTACGTTTCTTTTTCTTTTTCCCCCCCACCCCGGCGAAACACGTCTTCTCACCGCGTATCCAATTCTTTTTACTCGTTTATTTCTGCGAGCAAAAAAGGTAAATGTCAAAAGTAGAGTTTTCACAGTCATCCGATAGCAAGTCACGCAGAAAAAAAAAAAGAAGAAAAAAAAAAATGAAAGAAATGACGATCCCGTGTCTATTCTCAGTATTTAAGACAGCCTTTAACGTTAAGACGGTTGGGTTCAGTTCCTACAATGACACGTTTATCGGGCATTTGGTGGTTGATATGCGAATTGTACCGTGTGTATTTGCTGAACTGCAAAGTTGAGATATATACATTTTAGAGTAGAAGAAAAATGTTATATGAGTGATCGATTCGAGATAAGTTCGCAAATTGTTGATATGCCTTCCTTCTCGTATGTTTTTTTTTTTTCTTTTCTTTTCCGATTTCTTTTTAGTAGACGCTTCCGTAGAGGGGGGTTTGCGTACGTTTTTTTTTTTTTTTGTTTTTTTCTACTCCCTTTTTATCTGGACTTTTGAGAACGGCCGATTTGCGATTTATTGGTTTACCGATGTTGTTACCCGACGAATCTCTCATTCCTTTTGTACTTTCACGAAATTCTATAATGTTCTCCCCATTTTTTGAACGACAATACATCGTTACTTTTTCTAATTATTATGACTCGATGATGATTATGATTGCAATATGACGATGTTGAGATATGAAATAAATTGTGTAAATATATCATTTTCGTAAAACCGTTGCTTTTCCCTTATTCCCTTTGCCTTCGGCCGGAAACAATAAACAACCATGTTCGTTGGCAAGGTAAACGTTTAATGGTTTGTGAAAATACAAATACGTTTATACGATTGTACGTACAAGTAAAAACTGTGTTTAGATTCGTATCTAAGTAAGCAGATAGAAGTACAAGTACAGTAGTCGAGGCATCTTCAAATGCACGATCTTCTGGAATAAATCCATCCTCGCGTTCGATCCTCGTAATTTCCGTACAAATCTCCCGTTTTTTAAGCTTTCCATTCACTAACTCTCTATTCCTACAGAAGATAATGCGATTAGAGACAAGATCGTTTGGTCAATAGTACTTAGGCTTTCTTACAACGAATGCTACGATCTTACTTGGCGTTGGATAATCGAACACAGGATACCTAGGCGCGAAGGGAGTGTTGGCACCGTGCACGAAGTCCGATTCATCGTGATCCTTGATGTGCTCAGCTCCTGTAATGCATTCTTCGTAGGACGGAGGCGCTGAATGAAAACAAAAAGGTAAAATAAGATGAAAGGCCAATTTTTTTTAGCCACGAGCATCTTTCTTAACACGTATTTCTTATTTTCTTACGTATTTGCCAGTCGTTGGACGAACTGGCCGCTTGGCCCGGAATAATAAATCCAAGAGGCTGACGCGGCGCAGGGAGCAAATCCGTGCTTGACTGTTCATTGTTTGTTGTATAAGGTTGCCCGATTTGCGTAGGCATCGGAACTGTTGCAGGGTTGATGTGAGCCACGGTTAGCGAGCAGAGTAATGGCACCGATCCGATCAAAAGGGGATACGTCCTGACGAGATTGAAGTGCCTGGATGTTGGACGAAATTTTTGAGAGTGAGTATCAACCATCAACGTATAGATAAAAGTCTCGGAGCGCAAAGGGTTAATAAACAAAGATATCTGTATTACTCACGGTCCCGAAACGTGGATGACGAATCTCAATTTGTAGTTCAAGTCTATGATGTTGCAATGTTCCAGGCTGGACGGTGGTATCGGGGGTACCCGGAACTCTAAAATGTCTTGTCCCTGGTTGGTAGTGCACTCCCTGTAGTTGGCGGTCGCTATTTCGGAACATTCGATCTTTGTTTTGCCGGTGATCGCGTGAAATTTAATTTCCTTGAAGAATTCGTAACAACCGCGTTAAAAAAAAGTAACATCGGGATCGAGAGTTCTACTCACTCGTAGTAAGTGCGTGCTGAACCTAATTATCCTGATCTTGGACGAGTTCGAGTAGTCCAGCGTGGTGACTATCGACTGCCCTGGAACGTATCCAGTGGAGGGAACTCTGATGCGGATATTTGCCGTGCCCGCGGAGATGCAACAGCAGTTGTAGAAATTTTTCTTAATCTCGTCGTCGATTCCTAGCTGCGCGTGGAGAAACGACGGCTCGGGTAAGTGATTATTGGGAAACGACAGTAACAAAGATCCCTTACGCATTTGTGCCGGTGCGCGTTCAGATCCAGCATGGAGACCACGGTGAACGCCGCCTTGCACTCGTGATCGAACCTCCATGGTCTGTCGATCACTACCTTCACCGTGTATCTTATGTGACCATACATGTGCTCGAAGCTGGTGGGGATGTTTTGGGGTAGTTGAAACTGGAACGAGTACTTGTGGTATCCCACTGGGATTTGTACTCTTGAATCTATCGGAAGAAGTTACAGGTACTCTAGCTTTGGCCCTCGGGCTATGGAAGTTATGAAAAAACGAATCGAAAATCCAGGATAACATTTTTCATAGGAGGCTTCGTTTTCGAGATAATTCGTGTTCTGTTACGTCTGCCTTCTAACCACTGTTTGCAATGAATTTTCCAAGTCGATTTTCTAGAAAACGCATCCTTGAATGAACAAGTTTTATTCTTTTCAATTTGTTCGTTTCATTACATCCTGGTAACTTGACAAAAATATAGTTGATACGACGTAATACTATATGAAAATTTGTATCTTTTTGGTTTGGTCACCTAGGTCTGGCGATAATCGTCTGTTTCTACTCACCATTGTTGCTATTCAGTATGTTGAACCTGTACTTGAAGTACTTCTGCGAATTGTAGTAAGTGTCGCGGCGAGTACGATTGTGTTCTGTCTTCTTTTCCACCCACCGTACTCTGGCCTCCCCTTTGGCAGATAAATACAGCCCTACGATCGGATTTATGGTAAATTATTTTTTTAACGCTATTGTCTCTGTTGATAAAGCCGCTGGCAAATTACATAATAGGTTTCGACTATCGGAGAAAAATTACGCGCGAAATGTCTCCGGCATTTTTCTTCGGAAGCTGATTAATCACGTATCAATCATGTTTTTCATACAAGAGATAAGAGCAACATCGTTTCGTATCGCTGTTGTACAGAATGATTCATCGATATCTAATATTTCGTAACGCGCGTAGTTAACACAATAATCGATTTATGGATCGAAAGTAATTGCACGCTTATTGTATCGTGTCCATTGACATCGAATACCCAACGTGACTCGCGCGACTAAATTGATCTGTCCTCGTCGTTAGCGTAATTAAAAACGCGCTAGTTTTCTTATAATAGTTTTTGTTTCACGGCGGTTCTGCATTCGCAAAGCTTCTATCCGACGAACAGTTATGTTTCTTCAAGATTAGCTAACGATATTCGATAATAGGAAACTCGTTTCTTTACAAGTTGGATCAATAATTCCTGGCGCCAGGGAATCGAGTCTTTTTCTTGCACCACCTTCTCCTCCCACGTGTTTCCTCACCTTTCACGCTCTTCTCTTTCGTATTCTCGACGACGATGGTCCCCGTTATGGTTTCACCGGCCATGTACGTGGCACCCATTCGATCGAAATCCACGCGAAACGTTCTCAACGACGGCATCGTGCACTCGACTGACGTTCGTATTTGATCTCCGTTATCCAATGAGTCCGAACGGCGTGGCGGTGGTCAGCTCAATCCTCGAAGAAGGGGAAACAGATAGATCTTACATCGGTAAAATCTCGAGATTTGTCCCCACTGATCGATCATCGGAACCCCGTCGATTACGCGCAAAGAACGTCTCTCCGCTGTCTTTTAACGCTATTAAACGTTATTCCGAGCTTTTAACTCGTCCCGATGAATCGCTGAATCGTTAGAACAGGAGTGGATGAGTCACGGTGACGACATTGTTCCATATCGATTCGAATTTTTGCAAGTTCGCGATAGCGTAGCGACTCAGGAAGAGATTGGACAGGAATTTCTTTATATACTGCTGTAAATAATTGAATTCTTATTTACCGAAGATATATTTTTCTAGGAAACAATGAACAGGTAAATTCATTTGCAACGAAGGTATTTATTGGTTCGTGAACCATACATGTGATTACAATTATTATATATAGTTAAAAAGCATGTTTAAAGTTTTATAGAAATGGTCGAGGTAGATTCTCAAAGAGTAATTATTCGATAGAAGACTCATCCATTTTACCAGGAGAATACAAATAGAGACAAGATCGTTTGGTCAGATGTACTTAGGTTTCTTTGTAATCGAAAACAGGATATCGAGGCGAAAAGGGAGCGTCGGCACCCAAAACGTATTTCGATTCGTCGTGATCCTTGATGTTCTCAGCTCCTAATACGCATTCTTCGTAGGACGAAGGTACTGGATGAAAAGGAAAAATATTAGTCTTGCCAGAGCAACGTAAAACAATTTTAGAAAGTTCCATTTACAAGTCACTGAATAAGGTTATCGATTCCTTACGTCTTTGTCGTAAACCAATCGACATTGGTTTTGGAACATTCCTCGAGAGTTCTTTTTCAGTTCCGGATTCAGTGTTTGTTTTATCCGGTGAATAGTTTAACGGTATCGATCCGATCAAAAGTGGATAACTTCTGACGAACTTGAAGTGTCTATTATTGGGCAAACGAACGAGTAGCAATCAACAGGTAGATCGTCAAACATGGATCTTTTAACTTCTCGGGACGGTATAGATCCAAGTACTTTGTCAGATTGATGAGCAAGTCAACGATCAGATTATAATTTCAATTATCGGAATTTCCGCGCGCTAAGCTACTTATTAGCCCGCGTTTACTTACGCTCCCGAAACATGGACGAAGACTTTCAATTTGTAGTTCAAATTTATGATTCTGCAGTATTCGAGATTGGACGGTGGTATCGGTGGTATTCGCAAATCCAAACTGATCAGACCGATGTTGGAAAAGGGTCCGGTGTATTTGACGGACGATATCTCGGAGTATTCGTGCTTCGTTTTGGCGGAGATCGCGTGAAATTTAAGCTCCTTGAACAATTAGTTTCGACGGAATTAGAATCACTTGTTCGTCCACGATACTAGGTTGCCTGCTCGCCTTTGATTTACGATTCAGGGTTTCTCACTTGTTCCAATTTCGTGGTGATCCCCGTAATCGCGACGCTGTTCGACAAATTCGTGTAATTAATCGTCGCGACCAACGACTCTCCAGGAACGTATCCAGAGCTAGGAACTTTGAGGCGGACGTTTAACGATCCTGTGCTTATGCAGCAGCATCTGTAGAAATTTTTACGTCCTTCGTCGTCGATACCCAGCTGCGTGAAACAAAACGATTCGCGTAATTTTTGCAGTACGTACGCGAGAATTTCAGGAAACGATGGATCCCTTACGCATTTATCCTGGTAGGCGTTCAAATCCAAATTCGAGATCACAGTGAACGCGATCTTGCACTCGTGATTGAATTTCCATGGTCTGTCGATCGCAGCTTTTACCGTGTATCTTATGTGCCCGTATATGTGCTCGAAGCTCGTGGGGATGTTATGGGGTAGCTGAAACTCGAACGGGTACTCGTGGTATCCCGCAGGGATTTGTACCCGTGTATTATCTGAAAAATATCAATTGCAATTATTTTTTATGAATAGACATACCCCCGAAATCCTGCGCAGTTTCGAGAAAAAAAATTCTTTACCGAGCCCGGTGGAGGTGTTTGGTTGATAATGTGAAATTCCACGCAGTGTGTTCTGTATTACCAACTGAATACCACTCGTCGTGTGTCTACTCACCATTAGTAGCTTTCAGTATAGTGAACTTGAACTTGAAGTAATTCTCCGAGTTGGTGTAAGTATTATCGCAACTGTTATTATCCAGGTCGGTGTCCGTTTCAGTCCAACGTACACGGGCCTCTCCATTGGCTACGAGGTACATCCCTACGATCGACAGATGGGGTTTAGGGTAAATTACTCGATGGGCGTTAACACTCGGAAGTACGACATTTTAAAAAGGAATTCATTTTCAGTCGTGTTTTTCATTGAACGGATAAACGCAACAGGATTTTGTAATATCAAAACCTTTGATGCTTTTCTCCTTCGCGTTGCCCAAGATGATTTTCCCTGCCACGGTTTCACCACCTACGTACGTGGCGCGGGATCGATCGAGAACCACGCGAAACGTCTTCAACGACATCATGCACGCAACTGATCTTTCATCCTGTGGACTCGATCATCGTAGCGAGGGAAAGATAAAATAGATAAATCGTAATCATCGTTCGACGCGTCTTTCATTGTACAAATTGTCTACTTTTCCACAGTGGTCGTTCACTTATCGTTAGATAAAAAGCTCTGCGTTTTACTGCGATTTGAATATCATGCGTTTCCTCGTGACGTAACGTTAGGATGTTTCTGCCTTCAATTTTGCACGTGATTTCCAAAAAAAAAGGCTTAGTAAAAGTCAACGTCGAGGGGCAAGATTGTTCGTACAGTAGAATGAAAGTTCAACTCGACTTTATTTGCATGACTCCCTCAGTAATTACAGTGCGATTCTTAATCTTCGGTGCAGGACACGAAGAAATGAAAACAATTCGAAAAGGTTGCAAAGTAAACACACGTTTGTCGTTCCGGTTTAACATGATCCGCCGTGCGTGCAACGGAACCGTTGCAATATAAATTATTCATAGGCGACGTTTCCCTAACGGTAAAAGCCACGAGTCACGTTCGACTTTGTCGGCTCCAAGGTTCAATTTTCCGCGTTGACAGTAGCCGTGTCTCGCGGTTGGATCCCGACAAACGGGACGACAGGCTCCATTTATCGAACGTTTACCTGTTGGACGTGTTTGCAAGTGGTTCGACCGCAAGCTTTGAGCATCCCGCAGCGCGCGGGACCGCGATGGTTCTCGCGGCGCAAATTTCAACGCAATCTCGGTCGACGTTTACGGTGCTGTCGAAAACCATCGATTACACCGAAGGGACCTCCCTTCGTTCTGCCAGCAACTCCCTGCGGTTCGCTGCGAGAAACCAATTTCCCTTCCGAGGAACAGCGACTCGGTAGTTCGAGATATTTTATCCACGAATCTCCGTTCTAACCGTCTACTTGGTCGCTAACAACGTGTAATAAAACAAACTTCATGAAAGAAGATCGGTTGCTCGAGCACGCATGGTTTAAGTAGAATTTGTCAACCGCGTCTGACCATTGCTCGTCATTTCCACTTCTGTTGGTGCGAGCATCGATATTGCTACTGTATCATTCGTTTCAACCGGTTCTAACTAGCTCGAAGACAATTGAATTGGCAAGAATTAGGTAATAGGATATCAAAATCAAAATTTAAGAACTTCAGTCTAAGTAGAAATAAAGAACATTGGAGAGACACAAGTGTAATCGACAATTTTCTCCAAATATCACTTGTTTATCTTTTTATTGTCAAATAATCCACTTCGCGTTCGTAATTTGAGAGATGTTCCCCTCGACGTGGATCCAATTTTTAGTTTCTCGCGCCAAAATTATGGACCATCGGTGTACCCTACTTCGGAATACCGATAACGCGAGAAAAAGCGCATTCGAGCTGGAAAATCGTCGAGGCTAAACGTTCTCGATATATTTATTCGGTAATTGGGGGGGGTCGTTTGTCCGAAGGGTGAGGGAAGGTCCAGCGTCGGAGGAGTTTCTGGGGAAACGTAATGTATCGAATTGATAAAGAGACACGTGCGGACAGAACGAAAGCCCCCAGGGTCGAGGATGAAATGGGAGGTTGAGCAGGGTGAAGTTCGAAGCGGGGATTGGACCGTCGTTGGCCCGTGCGTTTCAACCCCTCAGTAACGCGGCAGCCTCTGTCGAGGAGGCACCTCGGGTTTCCGTGCTACGTTCTCGGTGTAAATATCCTCGCTACGTCACTGAATTTCCCTCGGTGCTGCTATTATCGTGTTGTCGGCCTCTCCGCGGAACCTCATCTCCTCTAAACGTCTCCCTCCTCGAAGGAGAACCGCCTCGAAATTGCTGCTGGGGAAGGAACAACGCAATGGTGATTCTCGTACGGTTACGATCAACAGGTTAATTCTTCGTGGCGTCCGGTGAGTTGGCAATATTCCGCTCTTCTTTCTAGATAATTGACCCTCTCCGACGGAGGAACCTAGCTGCGAACAATTCTTCTTTGCGATGCTTGGCTGTTAAGGGGAAAAAATCCGTATTTTCGCCCAGATATTGCGTGCTCGCGACAGAAATGCTTGTTAGTCGTTATTAGTTTGCGCGATACGAAAACTTGACCTATAGTTCTCGTTTCTGTCCAAGTTCTTGTATATTTTGGGGGGATTTGAGGATATTTTTGGGGACGGGAAACCTGTGGATCGAAGGCTGCATGTGTCTTTTTCGCGTGGGCATCGCTTGTAAATTACGCGTTTACGATTGGACTTGAAGTTGTTTGAATTATTTAATAGCGTTACGTACAGTAAAGCTCTCGGCTTTGGTTAATTCGTCTTGGTGCTTTCGAGATTAATCTCTGTTTGCATCTACGATACATTAAGATGATATTAGTTTCAAAAATTCGTTAAAATTATTTTTTAGTAATAATTAGAAGTATAATTGATCCACACGGAAAACGCTGCTTGTATCGAACAGAATTTCAATGTTATTTTAAATCAGTGAATTTAATTTTGTAATTCGACGTTTTTCCTTTCGATCAAGTCTCCCATTAGGTTACGATCTACGAGACATTCTTCACATCCCTGAAACGTTATCGTAATTCCTTGAATCTATTTTTTTTGCGTTCCTCGCAACCCTTCGAACCCTTCAGTCTACGTGTCCGAACAAGGAAATTACGTTTCCTGGTAACTAAACGAAATTAATTTCCTACAAAGCATATAGCACCCTTTGACTTGTATGCGATAGTTTGTAGAAATTACTCCGTCGCTGATAAACCAAAACCTTCGCGAGTTTTTGACTCTGTTTTTAATTATCGAGCATTTTCAAATACGAACGGAGCGCTGGAAAATTACGAGCACATTTTTTATATTTACTTTTCACGTTGCGATCGTTCCAATATCGTTGCAATTCTGCCCGTTCGAAATGAAAAACTTTATTCTACACTTTCGATTAATTTTCTCGCGAGGAAATACACCTTCTACAGCCATCATTGTCCCCGAACACATTGTATTCGCGAAATCGGAACGCGCTCTGAACTGATCTGGAATTTTCAGGTTCTTTGGCTCGTAGTATCCCGGACGCGTCTCGATCGTTGGATTCAACGCGACGATTCCCCGTTCCTGGGGATCGTGTCTCCGGATCGCCATTACTTAAAAGCGTCGAACGCCGGAGACGGAGATGAGAATCGAGTCCGCAACGAAAGGTTCTCGCGTCGTTCCGAGAGAGCTCGAGGCGATACGAAAGAACGAAAGGATCTGGTATTCCGTAGTCGTCGCGGGGTCACGATGAGACGAGAAGCCCTCCCTCGATAGATTGAAAGCGGAACGAACGAGGATCAAAGGGAGAGGAACGGACAGTCAACGGGGAAGCATTATCCAACGACTCGTCGACGAGATGGCGACGAGCAGTCCCGGACAATCGATACACCTGAAATCCCCGAGGAGTCCTCGACAGCTACCGAAACTGCCTACGATCCCCATCGGCGGCCAGAGGAGCCCGACACAGCTATCGGTAACCAAATCCCCAGGCACGCCGCTCGTCTTCGAGTTCCCGCCGGAGTGTTACCCGGACACGCCGAACGCCAATTTCGACTACGAGAAGTTTGCTCGAACGAAAGAGCACGAACGGCCATTGAGAAGTCCCAGTTACTACGTACGCCAAGGATGCAGGAGCCCGAAGAGTCCGAATCGGGACCTGTTGCACTCTCCGGGCAGAAAGTCGCCTATATTCCAGTTCTGCGAGTCCAGAAAGAGCCTGGGGAAGACTCTGAGCTACCCACCGAAGAGTCCGATCTCTGGACCACCGTTGGTACCGTCGAGGTCGCCCAGCTCGTCCAGCTTCGGCCCCAAGAAGCCTTTCGATCATCGAAGGAACTCCTGTTTCGGTCTGAGCGGATCCAAGAGTCCCATGTCCCCGACGATCGTCACTTCGTTGTCTCGTGGGTTGCTCGGCTCGAAGCACAACGAGCAGAACCTGGACCAGCAGAACAGCGCTGGTTACAAGAACAGTCCGTCGATGGGCTCTTCCGCGGAAGGGTTGTTCAAGGAGAGGAGCGAGAGTCCGAGCGCAAAGAGGACCGGCCATTTTAATCGCAGTCAGGGCTGCCTGGACGAGAATGGAAAGAGCAAAGAGGAGGATCCCGGTTACAGGAGGGACGAGATGAACATCTCGAGGAGGTCGACCAGCGATCTGACGGAGATGGACGACGCGGACACGGAAGTGACTCTGCTGTCCAGCCCTAGGAGAAGAGGCTCGATGAAGGGTGGCCTCGGTGAGCACGCTTTTCGATTATTTCTTGACTGTCCTTTTCGTCGTTGGATTCTGTTAGCTATTGTCCTGGATGTCGAGTTTGGGAACAGGTTGTTGAGCTTAGTATCGTCTGTAGGGGTGGGTGGAGAGTCAGACCGTGCTCCGTTTGACCTTGTTTCCTAGTTAGAGGAACTTTCGTGCTCCAATAATTGAGCAACGTTTGGAGGAAACAATGTAATAATGGGAATATGCTAATTTAATTACCATATCTCTGTAAATAGTTGTAAATAATGCTACACTGTGCATCGGAATACCAACCCTTGAACATTCAAGGAATTTGAGCTTTCAGTAATCAATTATATTTCACAATGGTACGTTGCTGATCAGTACCATAAGAATATTGAAGATTTTGCAACATATGCAACCACATTTTTTAGTCACGATATTATGTAGAAAAAGTGTTCCAGATTCAGATTTTTCCGGAGCGTATCGATCGCGGAACTTGGCTGGTTAATTTTTTTTTCGTGATGCCTTCGTTTACCGTTTAAGGATTTCCCAGCGTACATCGACGCGTGAAAGTTTCGCGCTGCTGCGTAGTCGGGAAACTTTATTTCCCATTGCCAAGTTTTCAAATCGGAACGCGTTCGCAAAGTGCGGCGAATGAAAAAAATTAATTACCGAATCCGCCGCGGTGAGAAAATGAATTATCGATTTCGTTCTCGCGTCGATTTACCTCGCCGACCATTGAAATTATTTTAGTTTCTAACGTTACGGGTCGTCGACGATAACGCATTTAATTACTCGGACGTCGAAACGAACACGAGACAACGCTATCACGTGGCGATTAATCAGCACGGATTGATCGGCTTAGGTTCGTGCGTTACGTGACTCGTTATGCGCTCGTATCGAATTAATTTTACAAATACGCCCGGCAGCGTGTCCTTTTTGTCCGTATCGTGATTAATTTTTGCCCGAGTTCAAGTTCTTAACCGCGTACAACGATGTGAATAATTATCCGTCGGAGTAAGTTTGTCCTCTGTTTGAAAAGAGGGATGATTTATGGAAATTCCCGGCCGTTGAAACACGCTGTAATTAACGGACATAATTACCACAAATTCTAGGTATTAGAAAACCTTAAGCGGGAACTTTTTATTCGGATTTCAATTCAAAAACTTCGATTCTTTTTTAAGGTCGTGTTTCGTAAGGATCTTGTGTAAAGTTTGATTCGAAATAGAGTTTTGCAAGACGTGGAAACGATTCTGGTCGTGAAATCTCTTTTGCATCCTCATGACGCGATAACGAGACGCGTTTTTCCGAGTGCAAGAACCATCGTCGCGTTTCGATGTTCAGGATCGAGTCTCGCAATCAACGGGAATTGTCGAGCGAAACCGCGGAATACGAATAAGGGCACGTACATGGCTCAAATAATCGTTTCGTCGGTTATACTCCCGCGGCGGCAAGAATTTTTACCATTTAAGCCTTCTATTCAAACGAAAATTTTCTTTCACTTAATCCAAATCCTAGGACTTTGCGTCGCCCATCGAATTCGGACAAAACTCTAGAGTCTGCAAATTAGATTTATCCTATTTTCGATTCTTTAAAACATTCGTCGAGAGATACAAGTTCCTTCACAAACTTCGCTTAAAATAGAGAGGAAATATAAAGTTAAAAGTTTGCCAAATAACTTTTATTCGTTTCATTCGACTCCCTGCCTCATCGAGACTCGTATCATCCCCAATATTCCACTCGACAAACTGTGTACTTGAAGTTAAATTACAACCAGTTTCTAATGTCAATAAAGATAGCTAGCATCAGATACGATAAAAAAAGAAAGGACACGTACGCGTATATTTCTATGATAAAATATTGACCACAAAATGAATCGTTCGATAGAATTCCGAGTTACCGGGGCTCTCCGATGAAAGCTTATCTAATTACGCGCGATCTCGTAACGTCGAATGGCATCATAACGCGTAGACAAAGAGAGGATCAAAAATCGAGTCTCCTGGCTGTAATCATTTTTCCCCGGTGGCCTCCGGAGGCCACCCACCCTGATGGGATTCTCATTTAAAGGTCCGGGAATAAAACGAGCCCGACCCCCGTCCCTCATCCCTTTCCATTCGTTTCTCGTCGTTCTCGGTGCCTTCCTCCTCCATCCTGGTTCGACTCGAAAGCCCCGAGACTCGGCTGTATTTCGAGAACCTAATCCCCCGTGATCCTCTTCGATCTTTAATCCGCTCGCGAGATCGCAACCGCGTTTGGTCAGAGATTTCTCGTGCGCGCGCGCGCGTTGGCTAGATCAAACGCGGGAAAGTTGATCGACGTCGCTATGAATCGTCATTCATGGCGACGTTCAGCCTCGGGGGCTAGAAATTATTAGCTTCCGGCGCATTGTGTCACGGTTTATCTGCCCACGATCCCTTTGAAACGGCGCGCGTCAGAAACTAGCCCCCCCCCCCCCCCCGTGTTTGATGTAATTCCGTCGTGCGAGCACGCGTGTACACGTTGTGTGTTTGCAGCCTACCTGGCGTCCAGGCGCGGCTCCCGTGACAGTCAGTGCTCCAATTTGTCCAACGTCAGCAACGAGGACGTGGGTCCTTTGAATTTCAACGCCCATCCGCGTGGCAGACAGCGGAGGACGTCGAACTTCCTCGAGCTGCCAGGTAATGTCATTTTTCTCTCGTCGGTGTTCGCTCGAAAGCGATTCTTTTAAGGTTTTCTGGTCGTTGACTATGTATTTCAGAGTGGTTTTTAGCCGTGGGGGTTGTTTTATGCGGGGTTTCTTTTATTGCACCTCACGAAATTGCGACCCTTGGTGAAACGCGAGCCATATTTGATACGTTAGCGATTTTAAAAGTAAATTATTAGACGACGTCGCTCGCAATAATGTGTTAAATGCGATCAAGATTGAAGAAAACAGTTCTCTTGAATCGAAAGAGAAAAGAGACTCCATGATTAATGACCGCGTCGGATAGGAATTTATTGGAAAGTCTGTTCCAGGGAAGACCATCTAAATATCTAATTTTCAAAACATTCCGAAGCTTTATAGAAAATAATCATGCTCGTGGCAGACTGCAAGATATATAACTGAAATTGAATTTCTGCTTGCGTAATATAAAACAGAAGCAATCGAGAAATTTTCATGCGAAATTCTTCGGGCTTACGACTATCTTCCTTGACGGAACGTTTTCTTGTGGAAATTCAATTCGCATGCCTCAAGTTTTCAGCGAACAGATTATTTTATTTTTCATACATATAAAGTAGAATCGTTGCAATCGGTGCTAGTCTTCTAGGATTAATCTTTCTCTCTGCACGCGATACATTAACTTGAAAATGGCTTCTCGAGCATCCGATCGACGACGATTCATGGCAGCGTAAACGTTATTTTTTATAGCCCTCGAGGCGTAACAGCGTTTTTTTTATGGCCACGCGTTTCCGAGATTATTTATATACAGTGTCGAGGATCGAACGACAGTTTCGCAGCAACCGTGATGCTGTTTATATCGAATCGTATCGGATGCGACGATGGCACGGTGCAGCTTGCCCTGGTTTAAACTCTGAATGCACAATTCGAATGCGGAGCGAGGTCTCCGCTAACGAAATGAATGTGCACACGTACTCGATATAATTCGTTGTGTTCCGTATTCGAGGCGCGGAAGCTGGGAATCGCGCGAATTGTTTCTTAAGTAATTATCTTTGGAAATCCTCGCAGATTCCACTCGCTGTTCGAGCGAATATCGAGCATCGTCGGTGGCGCGAAGATCGAGTCGACGTTTGACTTTGTCGCGGTAATTGTAACTGCATCGATAGGAACGAAACAATGCCCTAAGCACTGTACAACAATACACCGTTTAATTCCATCGAATTTTCGTGCAGATTAATGTTTTACACAAATTCGTATTTCTCGAGAATTCATGTTGGCTTAAGGTCATAATTAATGAGTTTCGAAGGGGTTAGAAACATGAACGAAACAAATTTTTTTTACCGTCTGTTTAACGCTACGACGAAGTTGTAGTCTGACATGCGTATTTATAATATTGCAATAATATTCCATCCATCTTGTGAAATCGGAGTAACACGCTATTGTACGGTGCTATTTTAACCGTTCCTATTATTCTAAAGTTCGCTCGCGAAGACCAATAGAGGGAAACGTCAAAAATGTTGAAACTGGTAAACGGGTCGCGAGAACTTTGCGTGAACGAAACTGTATTGTTTCAATAATTCGTTGTTAGTATTCTCCTGGAATTCTCCTGGAATTAGTGGGGAGGGCAATATCCCGAAATTTCCAGGCGGCCTAGGAATACCAAGTCGAGCGTATCACACTGATGGATTACGCTCCGAGTATCCGAGGCAGTCGTATCTGCACACCGGAAATTAATTACGCGGCCAACGTCCGCCGGGTAAATACTTTCCGTAAACAGACTCCCTGCCACCGCTCTCTCGACCCGTGGAACTCACAGAACGAAGAATTAGGACAGTGGTTCTTACCCACTTTAGCCTCACATCGCAGTTTAAAAGAAGATTTTTTACAGTCACCTGTGAGGTCATCGATTTTATTCAATTTTTCATAGAGCATTTATTTAACTCCTAATATTCTGATACGATCGTCGATACGAGAAGTTAATAGTTCGATACGAGGTATAGAAGATAGCACTTCATAGACATGACTCATTTCGTCAAGAGCTACCAACTGTTGCTCGTAAGGGTGGCGAAAAAATTGGTCGCCACGTAGATGCGGACGATAACGAGTATTTTTTCCTTTTATGGGCGGGGGATTCTGATTAATAACCGCGACTAAAAATAGAAAATCGATGTGCAACGAAAATTATCGCTTCCGTGGCCTGCGGCGTGTACAGGAGTTATTGGAATTTTGATAACCACGAGTCGTATCTTCGGTGTATAAATGTACACAGGGTAACACTCGCAATGTGGCCGTCGCGATTACGTTCGAAACTTGAGTAAATATGTGAAAATCAATCGAAACGGACATTTTTCGTTCGGGGAGGAGTGTTTGGTAAGCATTAGTTAATCCTGATGATCGAACAGAACTTTTCTCTCTTTTGAATCTTGCGTTTTCGTATCGAATGGGATAACTGACGATTTAAGAAACGATAAACTCGATGGTCCATATTACGGAGATATAAGTTATATGCATAACAAAACACTTTTGAAATTACATTTTCTACTCTTGCGACTTCGGCGACCGGAATGATCGATTGCTCTTGAAAGTATTCCCAGCAAATAGTTTTGAATCGTCTACGTGAGCATTTTTTTTAACAACCCACGCCACAGACATGCAATTATTTTGTAGAGATCAAATATATTTCGAAATCCATTTTTCAGGCATTTTGATATCAGTATTGTCTAGTTCAGTTTATTGTATTCACATTTGCTGTACCTTTACACAATCTTAAACTTTTTAGATCTAGAATTTATCACTGAATTTTAACATCCGGAGGTTTTTGAGGGCGTGTCCAAGAATTTCCAACAATAGAATTTGTATTTACTTAGCTACCACTGAGATTAAAACAAGACAAATGGTACCTGGCAGTTGGAAATAGTTCTGAATTAATATATTCCGCGAAATGTCTGGCGACGACAGGCTCGAATACTGTACGATGATCTTTCTCAATAGATTTCGTAAATTTATAACTTGTCCAAAACTCTGTTTTATTTATTTCTTTTTTCTGCGATAAAACGCGCATCATTTTTCTAAACCACCGGGGTTAAAAAAATGCTGGACTATTCGAGAGGGATGTTCACCGCGGAGGAGAGATACGCGGAATGGTAAATACGAGAGAAACATGAGAATAAATGAGAGAAAAGTCATTGCTGGGAGGATACGTTGCTCGCAACAAAGCGTTCAGCGGAATTGTATCGTTTCCTTGGGAAAAACGATCGACCATGTGTGCAGTGGTTTAGGAAAGAAGCGAGTCGAAAGAGAATTCCTTTACCCTTTCGATACGAATGGTTTCGTCGGGCGTTTTAGCGTCGTGGGTCGTTCGCTATTTACCTATCCATCATTACCAAACACGAACTTTTGGCCAGAATATTCATTTAAGATCGTTAAAGCTACTTTGGTGTTCGATTTAATTTCGATGTTGGGATCGTATATCGTAGGGCTTTTGTTTTAGAGTTTTTTATTTGAGAAAGTGAATCCGAATTTGTGAATCGTTGACAAAATCCAATCTTACCGCGAATCGAATTACGCGCGCCACGCGAACCATCATCACCCATCCCCCTGATCCCATCATCGCACCGATTTGTCGTACCGACGATCGAACTTGATTGGCGACTAATTAATTGAAACGCGAGTCCCCTACTTGAGCCAGCGGTCGTGGCATTGAAATTTCCCGCGGAACCGACGAACACACCATCGAGCAATTTCAAGGGAGGAACCTTGCAGCCTAGCGTCGTTGGTGTAATTAGATAGCCCGATGTAGACGACGAACTTCTTGAGTGCCTCGTCGCCCATAACCGCATTAAATGCCAAACCGTCGTCCACGCTTTGTCGGACGACCTACTAGTCGAACCTACGGCTCAATTTCCATCGAAAAGCAAAGTTGTCGTTCGAGTTGCCGCGAAACTCGTTTGGGGGAAAAATTGTTCAACGTCCCTTGAAAGGGACGGCAAGAAAATGAGATATAAAGTTTGCAAAAATCGAGTTTTGAAAGAGAGCGGGTCTAGGAAGGTAAAACGTAGCAGTCGTATGATAAATACAGAATGAAACGGTTGTTCGTTCGACAGTCCGGTTATCAGGAACGCGAACAAGGGTCGTGCAAATAGAGTCGACGCCGAGGAAAAGTATTTCGTTTAGAAAAGAAATCTGTCACGAGCCGAGTGGTTCGATTCTTAAGCAACGACTCTGCGAATGAAAGTTTCAGCTTCGAATCTCGGTTCCATCGATTGATTCTTTTGTGAGCTGCAAATAGAAAGAAAATAATTGAGCATGGGCCTGAGGAACCAGTTGCACGAATCTACAAGTACTCGCGTTTACTGTGCACGCTTCGACGTAAAACTTCTGACGTAAAAACGCGAATTCATGGGTAACCCTCGACCGGAACCATAAGCGCGGAGACACCCTGGGATCCCCAAATTTAGCCACATCTGATAGACTACTAGTTTACTATAATTCCGGGGTTTAATTAAAAATGCAAACAGAGTCGAAGTTATTGGAAATGTTAATAGCGTGTGGCGGTGTTTGCGCGAGATCGAAACGAAACGGTGTCCCGGGGATTTTTCACCGGAGAGGGATCAATTAAATTTCTGCCTTTGACTGGAGAGCATCGCCAATGAGATTTCCGTTATTTCGACGGTCGAGCGTTTTTCTCGCGAATGGGGGCGCGTGTTGGTGCTCGCGTGACGTCGTCGAACGAATTCGAGATTGTAAAGTCGGTGGCTCGATTGGATGCATCGGCGGCCGACAATTGATTTCTCCTTGCGTTCGACGTTTGAGAGAAAAAGGGGGATAAAAATTAACCGTCGACGAAACGTGACTTTTCGAGGGCACCGTTGCGTTTTCTAACGGGAAATTGCCGGGGCTCTCGAAGCAAAAGCTGGCGCCGTCGTTGCCCCGTCGCGCTTTGATCGCGGAAATCGTTAAATCGCGAGGCGTTTAACAGAAAATTCAAGACTCCTTTCGCCAAACGGGAAACCTGACGGAACATTTAACGAATTCGCTGGGAATAAAAATGTTTCGCGTCGAGTGATGTTGTTAGTATCTTTCGTCGAATTGCAATCAGAGCATTGTAAATTTTTGGGGAAAGTAACTCGGAAACAAACGGACGGTATCTGTTAACGAAGATCGATATCTGATTAACGGAATGTCCAGCCGACATTTATTTTGTCCGTTGTCTCGTTCGAAGCGACAACACGGCTTTAATTAACTGTCCATCGTTGATACGTTGCAGTGCCAGATCACATCAGGCCGCGTGTACACAGTTTGCCAGAAAAAGCATACAACCCGAGGGCTGGTGACGATCTCTATCGACTTCGGGCGTTCAACATCACCCAAAGAGGCGTCGTTAATCGCGGCGATTCGATTATTTCGAGACACAGCAGGAGCAACACTTCCGTCAACAGTAGCAGGTAACGAATCGGAAACAAAAGGGCTACTTTGCGCCTTCGTAATCAAAAGACAATATCTGTGGAACGAGGCCAATCCGCGGCTCTTTGTACCAATTACAGCCACTCTCAAAACGACTTGCAATAATTGGTATTACGAAAATTAAAGTTACTATTTGTATTTTACTAGGGCTACAGAAAGGACCGTGCGAAAGTAAACACGTTACTATCGTACCAGAGATATCTAAACGATCCCAACCAGTATGAAATTTTTAAGGCATCCATCACTCACTTTCATAGTTATCGTACGAGAGATTGTAATGTTCTTGCGATCGTTGGAGGATTAATGGCACTACAAGCTCAAATTATTCCGCCTTTCCTGTCCTCTGATATAGTAGCTTGTCCGATATAAACATTTTGCTTTAGTTATTCGTGCAAGAAGAAGCCCATTAGAGGTACGAGTCAGGTAAGCGAGGCGGGCATGCTAAAGTCCCATTACGTCAAAACGAGTAAAGTTCACGTGAAAATTCACGATGAAGATCAAAACATAATCTTAATTTTAGGAATTAGAAGAGTACAAGAAGTCTCACAGTCCACCTGAGCGTTTTAGATTTGAAGATCCGTGTTTGGACCTTGGAATTGAAAATTGAAAAATTCGAGACAGATGTCCTAGCAAAGATTGGTTACATTTCTCCATAAAGTTGGATCACGGGGGAACTAACGGGACTCCCTTAGTGAATTTCGAAGCCGGATAATAGAGTGCGTTCTTCGAACACCGACCCGATTACGCTTCCCTACTTTCAGCATTAGCATTCCGGTCTTCCTTCCGTTTCCATTGAATTGCTCTGAATCCGACCTAGAACGAGAACAATGACAAGCGAAATGAGCGACATGCTCGTTTCATCGATCACGAGCCATTCTATCTGACTTATCGCAGCAACATTTAATTCCAATCGTCGTGTCACAATCCCTGCTACTAATTAATTAGGTTTCGACGCGTCACGTTCGATTTTCGTGTTAACTGTAATTCATCCAATTAAAGGCATTCGTGCTTCATTTCCCCTAATACGATTCCCATAGTGCATGATAATGAGACAAATCTGTTCGAACTCTCTTCGTTTTACGGATAACCCGAAAACCCTTTAAACATCCTTCATTATTACCTAATTTATCTTCATTCGCGACTTTTCTATCGACGTGAAATGGTTATCGGTTTGGTTAGAAGCATAGATTAATCGGTGGGTGTAGAAATAAAGAAGAAAGTGATAGTAAATCGTGTCATCAGTATCGAGAAAAGTGTTCTAAATGGAACTATTTCATCCAAAATTTGACCAACGCAATTTCAATTAGGCAGCGACGTGGTAACCTAATCATCGCCGAAGCCTCACTCTGCTTCTGCGTGAATTCCCCTCGTTCTTTGTGCCGGCGATGGCATTAGGGGATCTAGTCGAAACAAAATTAATGATTTCTGCTGTCCGAACACCCTGCCACAGTCGGAATAGTATTAGCTGTCTACTCAAAGCTTCCGTTCCCACCATACACGACATAAATCAGGCCGATTGTAATCGTTTTACCTAATTTAATTTGAATCTCTTTACTAAAGCAATGCAGACAAATGCAAAATAAAATTACTGTACTCCCGTGGCTCTTCCAGGGATTTATTATATTGAACACTTTTTAAGGGCATTTCTAGGGATGACAGTTTGATAAACACTGACTTCTCTAATTTGTTTCCCGCGCTCCCCGTTCGAACTTATACAGAAAACAAGATTTCGTTATCGTTCCTACAGAGCTATTATCTTTCCGAGCCTTCAAGAAACTACTTAACGAATATCGATCCTTGTTTCCTTAAATTATACGATAACGTCGCCACCCCCGCGATGAAACTAATCGGGGTCCCGTTTCACAGTTTGTTTTAAGAATGTTCGTCAACGTCTATTTCCAGAAACAAAATTTTCCTTTCTTTCATTTTTTTTTTTTAATATACAGATCGTTTACCATGAGAATTGGTGGCTGGTAATAACGCGAACACCCTGTGCACGACGGGGAAGCGTCGATCGTGTCAAGACGTCGGGGCGGGAAATTTATGGAGAAAAGTATTTGGATTTTTAGGGTTCTGTACGCCCTTAACGGGAATAAGCGCACGTATGCTGTTAACCCGTGACATTTTTTTCTCCCCTGGTCGTTTCCGGCAGCGTCGAGGGTGCGCGGCGTTTCCGTGTTTACGACTTTGTCGGTTGTATCGCGACGCCATGTACGATCGTTCCGTTCGATTTCCTTCGACTTTCGTTACGAGAGCCCATAAGTCTTCTCGACTCTGACAGAGAGGAATCGTTCCTGCCCATGGGAACGATGTTTGTACCTAGCTCGCGGAAAACTGATTCTCGCGATAAAAATTTATGACAATCGAGCCAACGCCACCCCCTCACCCTCGCTCGCCCTCCCGAAAATTTAATCCTCTCGCGATAAGGGGAGAGAAATCGTCGATCGCGACGGAGTTGTTTATTTTCGTGTTTGTCGCGATAAATCCACCCCGTTGACAAACGACCCGGTAAATCATCCGTGTTTTCAAGTATTAAGGGCAATTCATGCAGACGACGAACTACCCTCCGACTCGATGTCTATCCTGGAATGGATTTAGAATCGAAGTTATGTATAATCAAGAACGTCAGGAATGCGAGAAGTATATTTTGGAATTTAGCTTTCACGCGAGTCTGGTGTCTGTTGAGCATGCGTGTTGTATTGTTTGAAATCTCATAAGACGGGGCTTGGCAAAGTCGACGAGCCACCCTTTATGAGTAAACGCTACGGACAAAGAGTGCGAACGTTGAATACGCACATGCTGGGTAATAACTTCGCCCACCTAAAATATCCCGGTGATTCTAAAAAAATATGAAATACTGGCTTATATGGAAGTTGTTTGATGTCGAAGGAAACCTTGTAGGCGTAATAAAAACACGTGCTGGAAATAAAGACGCAAAGAAAACAGCAGCGTTATGGCAGCCTTGTAAATTACAGTTTGCAGGGCATTTGGTTCCTAAATCCGCTTGGAAAGCACAGGTCCGTACCTTCCAATCATTTTCAAACGTTCAATCTTCGTTTTGTTAACTTCCTAATTTTCAACTTTCACCTCTCCAAGTGCCAACTTGGAATTTCCTGCCTTGGAGCTTAGTTTAGTTCGAAATTCATTGCACTATACGGCAAAGTCGACAGAATGTTCGATCGGTTCGTTGACCAGCGATTCTCAAACTTTTTGGAAATCGTCCCTCCGTTTGTAGAATAAACAAACTTTCGACGAGTGGTAAAGTTCTTCGCGGACTCGAGCCTCTCTTCCTTCCGCCATTATTTTTTCCCCCGTGAATATTTACCCAGTTTACCAAAGATATTGAAATTCCCCCGCTCTTGCGAAGCCCTGGAAGTCGTAAACGAGAACCCTCGGAACATGGGTGGCCTGTAAAACTTTCCACGACATTTCCCGCGTGTCCCGAGAGTCCACCCGCCGCGTGCCACTTAATTTCGGTGAAGAGACACAGTGAATTTCCCCTCGCCTTAACTTTCCCTTGCCTCGAGTCGTCTTTCCCTCGGGCATCTTGGCTCCTTTACACACGGGAACAGATCAACGACAACTTTCGCCTAAAAGATCCTTAGTCGCTCGTGTTAACGTTCACGCGGCAGAAAGAATTTATTTCTCAAAGATCAATTAGGAATCTTAGAAATCTATATTCTCTGATATTCGTCGATATCGCGCGTAAATCCGGGATCTACGAACGCTAGAATTCATTATAAAAATTGAAAACCGGCTGATGTATAAATGTATTCAGGTTAATCCCGGTAAAGGCAGTCGCATAATCCTTGCGTTGTGCACGCACAATGCACCGCGTGTCAACACAAACAATATAAATATTCCAGATACGAATCGCGCGAGATATCTAGGCTCGCGATTACGCTCGAACCACGGAGGCAACGTATTATAAGCGAAAATAGAAATTGCAACTAATCGAACTGGCTAACTGGCGGCAGATCCGAATGTCAGCGTTAGAAACAAATTACGCGTCCACGAAACGATAATAAAACCTATCCGTAGGTATGGAAACGGCGCTCCGGGGGATAGCTGCAAAGAACCCACATAGCACGGATGGAATTACTCGGAGCAATCATCCTTAGAACGTTGCCGGATGCTCCGCGGTACGTCGGGAATAAAGAAATTCGCAAAGACTTTAAACAAAGTTCTAACGATGCACGAAGATATCTGTACCCGTAAATAGAGCCAGGCCGGAGGTACGGGTCGAAGGGAAGTGAAAAATGTCTCGAGTTACACAAGTTTCTTCTCAACGAGGCTTCGATTTATAGAGGTTCCGTAAACAAAATTGCAATTTATAGAGGCAAGAGAAACGGATGTGTTCGCAGCTACAAGTTTGTTAAGATCAAGAATATAGTACTTATTTATTGTTCAATCGGTAAGCAGACCAACGTACAAATTACGAGGATTTAATGTAGAATAAACTTTTTACGTTGGAGGCTTTGTTTTTGAAGAAAATCGACTTTGGATATTTTCTGAGTACATCTGTATTTTATTACGCGGAGGCCATTATTTACTTTTCGATCGTGTGCACTCTGTATAATCTATTGTCTTACTATGCTGTTATCTTTTGGCTTCGGCTACCAGTTTCTATCGAGTCGTAGTGATAAGATATAATAGAGAATACGTGGATATGAGAATCAATGTGTATCGAAATTCGTTCAGCATAATTAAGTGCAGGCGTTCTTGGAACATATGGAACAAGTGGAATTTTCGGGGTCCTGTGTTTCCTTTTTAAATTACATTCTTATCATATTACTTATTCGTTTTCTATATCAGTAAAAAGACATTCTTTAACATCATTACATTTTATAAAACTAACGAAAATTATGTTAATTGAAAAAACTGTACAGATATAATTGAATAATGGAGTCTGGCAACATTCTGTACGATATCAACGTATCTCGTCTGCTTCGAAACTTATGATTCCGACACGCGTCTCGTTGAAATTCGATAAGCCCCATTGTTCGAAAGTGTCTGCGAACCACGCTCGTCTATTCCGTAACTGGGAGAGTGGAGGAGTAAAGACTCGCATGGGAGGAACAAAAGCACAAGTATCTTAGAAACTTTATTGTACAAAGATTATCGAACGCTCGCAACGAAGTCTGGGATCGAGACTTGACAGTGATGAAGAGGTTTGCGTATTCAAAGGAGGATTCCAAGAGTCGATCGAGGTGTAAATCCTGGGAAGAGAAGGTATTTGGCGGTGAACCACGCCGATTGGAGGAGAGCCAGCTCGTGGCCGAGGCTTCCGAAACGTTCCCTCGTTTTCTTCTTCTTCTTTTTCATTATCACGCAGCACGGAACGCGATGGCTATTTCTGTGATGCACCTCGATCACTGGACGCCTTGACCCGTCGATATCGTTCGACTCGATTCCGTGTGCGTCTTCGATCTAGTTCCAACTGCATCCCCGATGCATCTCTCGAACCGTCGATCGATGGTTTGACGGGCAAAATATAATCCGATCAACGATTTACTGCTCTTACAATCGCGCAACCATCGCAGTGGTTTTCAAATTTTTTTGGCGGGTGTCCCTTAAAAAGAAAAGAAATGCCTGCTCCAAGAATTGGTAAACTTTGAGAAACTTTTAGGGATCGCGTCCCCCACTTTGGATGACACATCATCGATCAGATTACACTTCGTCAAACCCCTGGTCCCTAGTTTTTCCCGACTCCTTTCGAACGAGGATCAGCTTCCTGTGCTCGTTGCTCGAAATCACAGAAATGAAGAATCGGGGTCAAAATATCCTCCTCGTTGATGTCTTCGAACGGTGATGAAAGAACGATAGCTCCGATCGAGGAATTGTTACCGCCATCGCGTTCGAAGGGAGCGGAGAAAATAGATGACGGATCCCGTGCTGGAGTCGAGTCAAAAATACCGGCGTCTAGCCTCCCCCGCGTGGCACGGCGTCGAGAAAGGGTTTCTGGTGATGGTTCTTTTCTAGTCGCTGTACTCGACCGTCTCCTCGTACTCCATCGACTGTTGCGACCTGGTGGACGAAGAGGACACGGACTTGATCGACGAAGACGACTCGATCACAGACTTGGACTGGACGCTCTGCACGGACTTCATCGTAGACACGGACGTGGACTCCGACGAGACGTTCAACGACTGCGCGACAAGACTGTCGGCGGATTCGTTTGCTGAAAAAGGGAAAACAAATGCTCCTTACGTTCATTTTTCCAGGACTTTTCGCCCACTAAGCAAGCTTTCGTTATGGGGTATCAACAATAGTTCTTTCCCAACTCCCATATAAATGAATTTGATATTATCATCGCTTCTATACTATGTTAAATTCGATATTATATATTATTACATTACAGTCTTAATTAATTTGTATAGAAGTTCGTTGTTATATCGAGTTCGATAATTTAGATAGGAGTCGTTAAGTAGTAAAAATCAGTGAATTATTAATAACAAACCCACGCAAGTTGTCGTTAAAGCACACAACGAAAGAAAAAAGGGGTTGGATAATAAGTCAAAACTGATTCTATCAATTGCAATTGGCATTTTTCTATTGTTCGTGGAATTAACGGAACTTTGCGGACTCTTTCGGATCGCTTTTATTCTGAACGCGATTGCATCCGACAGGAGGTAATCCTTTTTGAAAAATGAGCCCGAACATTGTAGGATAAAGTTTGCCAAACACGGGTGTTCGTTTTTTAGAGAATGGAGCTCGAACCTGATTAAAATCCGATTCGAAGGATCTCGCGGAAACACGGTAATAGTATTTCCCTCGAAAAGATATCGATGTCGGTCCGTGATTGAAAGAAAACATTAGACGCGTCGTTGAAGTGACAGTATCGCCGAACAAAAGAAGAATTCCATTATACCTTCTATTTCTGGAATTATGATTCTTGTAAAGCATGGGCATGGAGGACATTGTCCAAACTCGTGACTTAGAACAAATAATAAAATCGTAGCAAGGTTTAACGTTAACGGACCAACTGGGAAGCTTTTTGAAACCGTGTAAATATTTTAAAAAAATTGAAATCCAGTTCTGTGGATCTGTTATGGCGGCGGAGGAAAGTTAGGGGTTGGAGGACTCGATCGCGGGTCGAATTGAATTCGTTACACGCACCTTTGGCGACTTCCATTATGGAACGAAAGTTTTTCGCGTCGGTTTCCGGGGCTCGTCGGTTTCCCAAGGGAGGAGGAAGCGTACGCGAACAACTCGAGATCGAACTCGCGAATGGGGCGAACGTCGGAGCTTCGGGTTATTCTAAACCGGTATTCGGACACGGGAGAGGGAAAGTCCGCGATCACGTGATAGAAAATACAGTGGCCAGGGGGCCACGGGGGGGGGGGAGGAAAATGTTCGGCGTGTTTGGCGTGTTTGGCATCTTTTCCGAAGCGGTGAGGAATATTCGTGGAATTTCGAATGGCTCGCGACGTATGCGTCCCGACGGCTGAGTCAATGTTCTTCCGACAACGATGCCTCGCGCGCTCCAGACAGACGATGATTTCTTTCCTCTCCCAGAATCGTCAGCGACCATGAATAATTACCGAGTAAAAGGCGCCGAGTGCCAAAATTCTACAATTTTTTCACGATTAGGTGCCAGTGACCATTGCTAATAAGTCTAGAAATGCGTCTTGCTGGAATTTCCAGCCCACGTTTCTTGCAACAGTCCAAGGATCCAATGAGAAATCCACTACCTGCAACCTCACTTGTTGCTCAGTGACCCTCTTTACTTGTCAACGTCGTACAAGGAACGAGGTTCTACCGTGGTAATATACTAAAATTAAAATATACGAGCAATAGACTCAACAGATGGAAACGATACGTAACATTCTTATAAGCCTGTGTCTCGTTTGGCTTTGTTTCGTTATCTTTGCGAGTGATGTTAATTTTAATTCTATTCATTGCGAGCCTTAGAATACGAATACCTGCATATGCGCATTGAAACTGCTACGCAGAGAAAATTTACCTGGAGGTTACCGCCAGCCATCGAGGCGGTACCTCCAGGTCGAGGCTCCTCCATTGCATTCCGCTCGAGCTGACCTTTAGGAATATCTCTGGCACATAATGTGCAGCAGTACCGTGAAAATATACGTTATTAATTTTTTAGCAGAGACTTTTTAATATATTTTCTTCGCTGCCTCTGTACGCCGATGAAAATGTCGCACTCTCTGGACCGACCAACGAAGAAAACTCGGTTGTTTATTATTAAAACGTTGCGCTCGAACGACGAAGTTGGAAAATAATTTAATCTTAGGGAAGTTTTTATTTCAAAATTTTCCATGAAAATTCTCCGCCATGCCCGCGTATCGGAAATCGTTCTGAACGAAGCTGTCTCGAACAACAATTATCTACTATTCTATTGTTAGAAACATCAATAACGCGTTCGAGACGTTGTTATTTTTCTCGATGATCGCGAAGATATACCGAGGGTTTGCGTGCAGGAGGGATGTTTCGCAGTCAGGGCAAGTAACTCGAGTATAACGGGGATGAAGTCTCTCGAGTGAAACTTGAGAAAAGGAACTCGTCTTGTCGAGGAATTAGGATCGACGTTTGTTAGTTTCAGTTAAATGAACTGTGAGGGATGAGGCATTGTGCATCCTCGGATCGCCGCAAACTCTGTTCTCCAGGTGATCCAACTTCTACGAGACCTTCGATCACAGAATTCTACTTCTCGTTCTGAAGTACCAGGAAAGAGCCAGTATTGCTCGAAAGAAACGAATCGACCCTCTTAGATCAATTTATTTTGATAGAAGCTAGACACTTGGATGCAATAAATGCTCGTGATTTAAAATTTGTTTAATTCGAGCACGGTTGAAACGTAATCGGGGGAGTTTGTCAAAATTCGTTACAATGGATGGCTACCTCGATAAATCGTAAAGTAATCAGCGGACGCATAGAAATCTCGTCGGGATTCGTTTAACGCGATTGAATAAGAAATTAATTTCTTCGATTGGATTCGAGAAAAACGCGATGGAACCGTAGGAAACGGCGAGTCCAATTAACGAGCACGGTATGACAGAGCTCGACTCGAGTTTCGTACGAATTGAACTGCTACGGACAGTCTTCGAGACTCGGTTTCAGTAATTGTTCGCCGGGGAAAGTACAGTTCGTTTAGATAGAAACAGTGTCCAGCGTGACGCGGGTCCCGTTTTCGCGCAATTTCCGCCACCGGGTGTTCCCCGATGTGAAAAATAACTGCAGAAGTTTCCGGAACGCTCGTATTTGCCTTCGTTCGTAAATTATTCTCGATCGTCGGACGAAGGATACGCGCTCTGGCATTATTCCGCGCTACAGCGCCGACCAGAACGCTGTTTACAGCGGAAAAGCAGCTTGAGTTTTTGCCAGGTTCTACAAATTTCCTTTGCACTTTTTACCCGGCGATCGGTTCGAGGTAATTCATTTCGAACGAGGTAGTTGCCAAGATCGTACGACTCAAAGTATTTTATATATCACGTTTCCTATTTGACGCTAATTTATACGCGAGCTAGCACTGGAAATTTTAGCTCGATCTTGAAAATTATTATTACACGCTTTACCGAGAACGAATTTCAGTTTTCTATATTAATGCGCGCAAAGGTCTGTAAATCACACTTGTCGGTTTTTGAATCTAATAATTTTCTTTCTCACATTGATATAGCAATTACGATTAGATGTATTTCCACTTTCAAGCCACAGTTGAGACCGTGATTAATTTTATGGGCACTCGTAATCCCCCACAAGTTTCACGAGCCCATAATTGTCACATAATCGTATATTCTTAGCTGGATGCGTGGCAGTGAACATGGGCACGGATTCCTAAATCATGCTGGTAGGATTTGTGCAGCCTCGCAGTAGTAGAAATTATGATCTTAAAGAAAAATATCATCTTGCTCGCCCGATGCAAATAAAATTGAACCATCCAGATGATTCGCATGATGTATCAGGGTAAAATTAAAGATCGTTCGAGCTGGAAAATGAATCACGAAGCGATCGCCATAGACTTTTCCGAGCGTTCGTGACTAATAATCGGTGAGTCACGAAGGAATCGAATATCCGTGGACATCGGCCAATGTTCCGTTTCCGTTCAAGGTGATAAATAAATTTATTTGAGGTAATTGTCAGCCAATGTCGAATCCGTCCCAATTAATTCCGCAGAAATTTCGACGGGAATCTTTAATTATTGCTCCGTGGTGACGCTGGCGCGCTAAGAGCATTGCCAGACGAGAATAGATCTTTTATTTATATGTATTTGTTGTAACAAAATGATGACTAAGGCTGCGCTATTTCTATGCGCCGTAACGTGCTCGTCCAAGGTGATTTTCACTTGCATAAATTTCGGTGGAAAATTGAATTGTCCGAACGTCGCCGACGAAACCTTCGAGCACCGAAGTGACTCGAGAATTCGTTCGAGAAGATTGCTGTTGTTTCACTCGAATCGTTTGCTGATTAATTGCAACGTCAATTCTCCGAACGTATTTATGAACTCTTAAAATAATAAATAGAGTGAAATTTCATTGAATCCGATTCTGTCCCACTGGTTCTCTCAGATCGTGCCCCAAAATAGTCACAGTCTCTTTGTGGCCCGCTTCAGTTAGGCCTACGAAAGCGATCCCGCAGGGAACGTGCTCAGGAAAATAAGTTTCACGCAGGGTGGTTAGTTCTTTGGCTCCCGTGAAAGGTTTTCGTCGTCTCGACCCCTTTTTCTCGCCAACCTTTTACGTACAAACGACTATAAATGTACTTTTTCTCGGGCAACGGAGCGTCAGGCGAGAATTAACGAGATCCCACGAAAAAAGTTCCGACTATTAAGCAATTCGGATGAATAACTGCATACACATCCCCCGAATAAAAGTAGCAGACACATAATTTATTTTCAATTTTTAATTTACAGTGTTTCGAGAAGGTACGCGAATTTTTTCAAGCGTTTCGCGAACATAAAAGTACGCATTGCCGTTTATGGCCGTCGTTCGTGTGCTTTGCGCGTACGTGACTCTTGGAAATTTCGAAACTAAGATGGCACATTGTTATTACATGCCCGGGGTTCTGTTCGCAAGTACTCCTTCCGAAGTGCTCGATTCGCTGCGAAGAAGTTTCATTGGTCATTGCAGTTGAGTAAAGTAGCGATGAATTTGGCGTTTAGGGTTGTTCATCCGCGGAGACTCGTTCCCGGACGTTTACGCAATGCTAAAAAAGCTTTCGAACGTTTTATCCGAGCCGAGTGTTCGCGAACGATTACGGAAAATCGTTCTAGTCGAAGGGAATGCGCGGTAAAAATTAACTATTATTATTATCGACGGGAGAAACTATTGTGGTCGTAATTGGGATAGCCAGAGAACGACGAAACTAATTAATAAAAGAAATTTTACATGCTCTGACATGGCATCGATGGGGTAATTGTGTACGCATTATCAGTTTTTTAATTTAGTTGAACATAGAGTATGAGATTTTAATATTTTTGCAAGCAAAACGTAATTAATTTGATATAAATAATGAACTCTGTACGGCGCAACGTCGAGGAACGAGTCGGAGGATTCCAAGATGGCCGATCCATCGAGGCGCTCGGGTTGTTACACGAATCATTACGTCGTGCAAGATCAGCTGCCCGTTTCGCGCGTTCGGTCCACTCTCCAAATAGACGGTGTAAATGTTTGCACAATTTTTTCGTTTTCTTACCAAGATCCCTCGTTTATATATAACTCCTGCATCTTCAGCGCCATCTTCGAGCTTGGTTTACACACGTGCCAAGCCGGAGGAATGCACGAGCATTGTTCTTGGCCGGGAAGCAACGCTTTCTATCGCGACCCAACGAGAAGGAACCGACACTCGAGGCTTTGCATTAAGTTAATCGTAACATCTCGCGTAGAATTTTATCAAACCAACGAACAAACAAAACGTACGAAAATACGCGTTTCGTTTCGGTATCGTTAAATAAACCTCGAAATATCGACTGTTTTTTAGGCAAAGTATTACAAAAATATCCACCCCCCTCATAGATACACGCGTACGTGTAAATTTGCGAGGGAGAAAAGAAAATATCGAGAGCAGTATCGTTTACGATTACTGTTTGCAGACGTATTTAAATGTATTTACTTGCAACGTGTTGCATTCCGTAGTCACGCGATTACAACCCAGTCATTAGCATTCCAAATGCATATTGCTCGAGCATGAAGCTGAACGTACCTCGTTTAACCTCTGGAATGATTGCGATCGTTTGTATGAAACGCGTTACATCGTCGCTAGCTTTTCAGCAGGGTTACGAGTAATTATTTCACGGCTCTTTGACATGGCTGTTTTCGAATTCGCCATTAAATTGGAGTTTTATGTAATGTTCGCTTGGCCTGGGTTATTCGGTTCCACGTTGTGTCGCAGGGTTCTGATCGATCCGGCCATTATTTGCGATCGGCGGATGAATCAACCTGCTAGAATTTTAATCGTACCGTTTCGCTGGTCCGAATGGGTTGGCGAAATCGTGTTTTATTAAACAGAAAAGGCAAATACTAAGGACGGTAATTTTGTTTCGGCTTTATGTGCAGATAATTCGTAGGTTTTCGAAATAATTAATAATGATTCGTATTAATAATTATGTAGTATGTCGAATTTATTAGTTGTCGTTTTCAGCCTTCCGCAGAACGATATAAATGAAAATTATCGTATATAAACACACGCACGTATAATACAAAGTATGATCCTTGAACTAGTAATTCATACTTTACATATCATGATGCTCTAAATAATAGAGCATTGATATATGTGTATTATGCAGTGACGTTTCTTTTAGCTTTATCTCATAAACGTGCCTCTGCATCATAATAATTCTCTAATATTTAGAGTATCACGATATGCAAAGTACAAAGTATGTATATTATTAATTCAAGGATTAAACTTTATTCGTATACGACCACTTTTTAAACGTGTCTTACGGCTTCAAAATTGATTGTAATTTATGTAATTGATGTTTGGAATATTTTAGTCAAAAGAAAATTCATAAATAAATGTTTAGGAAATCGGAATATGGAAAATATATTAGGATCTGCGGTATATTTGAAATATAAAGAATGCAAAATTGCATGTGCATGTTTTAATGCACTCTGCATGTTATGCATATAAAATATTTAATACTTTTCCTATCAAACGTTGTGCAAAAATGTTGCATGTTTTTAATATTGTTATTTCATATATGACTCATGTGACATATCGCTCACAAAGTAGATATTACAGAAGGTTAACTCACTAATAATGTAATGTGTATTACGGGACGGTATTATCATATTTAGTGGTTTATTAATGATTGATTCGATTTCCCCTGCGCGGTTAACGGAATTTATTGATATTTAGTAAAATGCAAAATATAAGAGCCGTAACTTCATTAATTGGAAAATGAAAATATTATAAAGATCGCAACGGTCCAACACGCTTGACAAGGAAAATTGCTAATTACCATACATTGGACAACATACTCGATATAATTTCTTTGCTCCTCTCGTGGCAATTATCACAAAAACCGATTATATATCATAAACTGACATTTATAAATTAGAATCTATCGAGGAATTAAACCGACATCCAGACCAAAGCAGCGGGCAAAAGAGCTACTTTACTAGCGAATCTAAAATTTTTATTCGTCGTTCGAGAGTGAAATTCGCCCGACTCCGCACGCGTTAAAGTCCATTCTATCGAGGATCGTTCCGTAGCATCGCGTTCCGTTCGTTACGATCCGCCAGAACTTCAAATTTCTCGACACAACTCGAGCTTACGCACGCCAGACGTCGTAAAGTGCTTCCGTCGAGGCAGAGGGATGGAAAAAGGTTTTCCCCGTTTCATGCTCAGCGTCGCGTTTGATTGCGCCGAACCACCCGCTGGCTTTGCGTTGATTTTCCAACCCGACCCTCGGGCTAATCCCGCGTCTCTCGCCTCCTTTCCACGTGTTCGCTTTGTGTCCAACATCGATGCACGTAAATTCGTTTATTCCGCCGACGCAGGATCGATAAGGCTTGCGGCCGATCCCGGTCCAAGACATTCTCTGTGAACGTGAATCGATGGAAGCTATCAAAGACCCCTAAATCATTAAGGAGATATATTAAAACAGGACGCACGATCTTTGCTGATATTTAGAATTTCTTTCGAAGAGAAATACATATTATTTTGCTTGAGGAGAATCTGCCAAGAATGTTTGGGTGTAGCTCGACTAATTTAGCGGGGGATTACGGCCTCGATATTGCTTCATTGCCACGAACTTTCTACGTTTCTGTCGAGCATGTGCACTTCTAGAGTCTCTCGCTGCTGTGCCCTGAAAAGCGATTGGCGTTTCATGGCATCGTAACTCGAAACATGCATGCTTGGCATGGCATTTGCAACCCTCCAGGTTCACCCCTTTCCGGAACTCGTCTACATCGCGATTAGCCACTCGAAGAACGAGCGTGGAAGCATTCAGACTCGCGGACGTTGTCAAGAAATGATCCATCTTCTCGAACGTGACGAGAGACGGTCAATTTTGGGTGAAAAATATTTCGTCGGGTCGTAAATCTCAACGCTATGAGCAACGACTGTGTTACTGAAAAAGTCTCGGTCGATCGTTCGATGGAAATTGATTTTACGGATATCACGGTTTCGAATGCTCTTGGCCCATTAGCTTACAACCCTTCCAGCTTTCACCTGACGGGAATAAACGTCAGGGAACGAGAATAGTCGGGTCTTATTGTTAGAAACTTCGCCGTCGGCGGGGTTCTAATTTCATCGTCTTTCTCTCGACGTCGAACGCGACGTCTGGACCGGTTTACGATAGAATAGAGGATATGTATGCTAAACGAACGAAGAATACGTTCCATACATGAATATTTGCATAAGTGGATCAGTACAAATCAAATTTTATACTGTGGAGAAAAACATTTCCTGTGAAATAGATCGATTTAATTATTATATAGACTTAAAAATGTTATAATTTGCATTCTAAACGAAAAATTGGTATTCTTGATTTTCGTCTTATTTTGGCCTCTAGAATGTCCCGTTAAAATTGTTCACCCTGTACAAGCAACGGGGGAAAAAGAGAGAAATCGTCGCGAAATATTAAAATTCAATTATCTCGAGAACGAAGCACCGTACGAGCAATTTTTATTCCACCCTATGGACGTATCGTTGCTCGATCGTGCACGCTACAAGCGCATAAAATCGCCGGCCTACTGACTTTTCTTGTCCACGAGTCGGCAGGAAAGCGACGGCGATACGAATTTATTGTAGTTTCGCGTCGCGTTTGCTTCCGATTCATCGACCGCGCGATCGAAACGGAAGTCGAGCTGAAAGCAAGCGAGAAAAACGAGGAACTCGAGGCTGGCTACCCCGGTTCGACGCGGTTAAAATGGAAATATGACATCGTTTCTCGATCCCCATGACATGCACGTTTCGAGGGCACCGCGACACAACTTCGATAAAATACTATTCCAGGAATATTTCCACGAACGTAATTTCCAATTCCCGCGTATTTCGATCGTTCGGTCGTCCCGCAACCGCAGACTTTTTTTTTCCCCAGGAACTAATAATTATCTCTCGAAACTATCGATCAAACTTTGTCAGATCAATGGTCCGCGTGACCTCCTTCCGGCCCGCGCAACAGCAGCAATTCTTTCGAGGGTGAAATAATACCTTAACGATCCGACGTTTCCTTCCGTTTCCGCTCGCGATGCAAACGGCGACTGTTTAGAGAGATACAGGACTGACGATAAATCTTATCGTTCTTTCGAAGCACGCGGTGAATCGTTGTAGCTCGAAACTGTCGATTAACTTTATCGCGTCGGTGTTTGGGCGCGGAGCCAATTTAATTGGAAGCTGTTCGATCTTCCAGATCAGGAATTCTCGATGAGAATCGTGCAACTTCCAAAGGGACCGCGGAAAACGTTCAAATAAATGCAAGGTTGATTTCTCGAATTTTGGTTGTTAAAACGATACAAAGAATATGTTCCTCTGTTCTTCGGTTTGTAAAGCAGCGATCTAAGGTCTGTTAACTTTGGCGGAACATCTGTCCGTCCGTCGCAGCTATTCTATCCGGATTGGCCAGGTTCCAAAGCCTTCGAACCTTGCAACCGACGATGTCGCGAACTCTCGATCGTGTTTGTGTTGCAGGAACAGTAATGTATCGGGCGAGAGGTCACCGTTCGAGGGGTCGTGTTGTAGCGGACAGGGTGTCGCCGGGGACAGCGACGAGAGCGACGAGATGCAAGAAGAGATCCCGAAGTACAGAGTCGTTTTGCTCGGCGACTCAGGCGTGGGTAAAACTGCACTGGTTTCGCAGTTCATGACCAGCGAGTATATGAACACGTACGACGCCAGTCTAGGTAAATGTTTCAAAAATGATTAATGTCCCTACGGTCACTGTCGACGGTCTCGAGAGCGTTCTTCTGCTCCTAACCTTGTATCCCGAATAGTATTCTGCTGCAACGATCCTTTTTACCACTTCCTTGTTTTACAATTTTTCAGCGAAGATCAACATTTGCCGGGGTAAAAATTCAAAAATATGTTCCTACGTGTTTTGGGAGCAATTGGAATTTGTTTCATTACACTTTTACAATCGTGGCTGTTTTTCAGCGGTCTGGGAAATACGCGTCGTTTACATAACGAATAAATTTACTCCCTTTTCATCAACGTTACCCTTTCATCGCTTCATCTTTCTTTTGTTTCGATCTCGAATCGCGTTACGCGTACAATCGAGACTATTTAATATTCCGGAATTCTGCAGCTATTCAAATCGAACGTTTCCTAAATGGAACGAACCCTAAATAGATTCCCTTTCCAGCGGCCTGCGGCCGAAAAATGCGAGCGAATTTGTTTCATTTTGTCGGTTTTTAATACTTTTAAACTCGCGCGCAATAAAATCCTCTGGCCGTCGAACGGAAAAATGGAAAGGGCTTTTTCGGAGTAAATTCGTTGGTAGTAAGCATGTCGAATAGAGTTGTCCCGGGACTAATTGCTCGCGTATATCGGTAACTGAATTTCGTCCACGAGCCGTGGCGAGCGTAAAGACGGTTGAAATTAATAACAAAGCAAAGGATAGAGGGGTTGCGTCCTCGCGTTTCGTTTGACTCCGGTCTGTTTTGTTTTTTCCCCCTGTCTCTATTGAAGCTTTACGAGCACGTTAACGAGATTGTCTGAAAACGAGCACTCTTTTCTTCGCGCGTAGACAACGAAATTGTCCAGATGTTATTCGTTCGCATTTCCACGCTCGTGGTCGCGGTTGTCGTCGTAGAGAATAAATTTTCTACGCTCGCCAGCCGAAACGACCAAGTTCTTACCGATCGAAAGGGAATTTTAATCCTTCCCAGGGAAATTGAAATCATCCCCCGGCGTTTGAAAACGCGAAGGAAATCTCTCGTCGGCGTGTCTCGTTTAGAAGTAATTTCGCTGTTACGCGTGCAACGTTAATTATAAATGCACGCGTGAGATCACAGCAAAGGCTACGATTTAACGAGTGTTTCCATTACCTGGCCGCCTTTCAGAGCTATCCGCGGCGAACAGGCTACTTTTAATTAATTTCCTTCGTTCCCGGGTCTGTTCATCGGTCTCTCCCGACTTCCCGTTTCGGTTCCTACGACCTCACGGCGCCCACAGAATTTCATTCGAACACCAAATTCTATATTACATTGCATTTATTTTCTTTTTTTCTTAGAAACTCGTGGTGTCAAATTTCCCATTTCCCATTTAGACTCGCCCTATTCAAGTTCACCCCTTTATCGTGCAAAAAGCTGCGACTATGGTCGAGGCGCTGCAAGCTTATTTATTTGCAGAAAATATTAATTTTATTTAGAATTATATATCATCGAACGATCACTGACGCAACGACATGTTCCTCGGGGAAAGTCGTATTTATAATTTTGTAAGCAGACCACCTCCTCTCTGTTCTCGGTTGAAACAAACGCGATCCACGCGGTCAGCGTTAATGGAGGTTTCGTGTAGCCCCGTCAATGCAGATCGTTAACAGGTACTCCTCGGTGCTGCAGGTGTATCTGCTTGTCGGCACAGACGCGCTTATTACAGGACAATAATTATATACATTCTATGACGCGCAGAAGCGATTACGCTCACTTCCATTCCTCCGTATTCATCGCGCGCGTTTGTGTTTCGAGCAGTCGTCGCTTCAATAACGCTATTGCTCCCGAGCCCTTTACGATGACATTACGCACGCCGACGCGAACAGAGCCTTATTGTCCCTTACAATTTCAACATTGGTCTCCTCTTTCGTTAAGAAAGCGCTAAAGCTTGCGTAACACGCCGAACCCCTCAAATTGGTATTTATTCGCGACGTGTCCCGCGAAAACTCCGTTTCGAGGTTATTCGAGTTTGAAACTTTTCGTTGTTCGCGCGTCCGGGACGTCGATGCAGCCTGTTACGATGTTACGAAAACGTTTTTTTTTTTATATAGAACGAAATTCCCGATTCGGGGGAAACAAATTGACGATCGAGGAGGTTAACCACGCGCCACGTTGTGTTGCAGACGACGAATTCGGCGAGAAGACGGTCTCGATTCTGCTGGACGGAGAGGAGTCGGAAATGGTGTTCATCGATCATCCCCACGTGGAGATGAGCGTAAGTGGCGTTCTCGTTTCGAACACTGCGTACGCCTACGCGCTGCAACACGCGTATGAAACTCTGGAAACGCGCTCCCCCTGGCAATTAAACGTTTTCGCGAGAACCGACTGCGTTCCGAATGAATTTCAAAGCCTGCAGCAGCGGACAGGTTTCAAGCTCATAATTTACTAAGTGGCTGAAAAATCGCGACCATAGTTACTCGAAACACTGTACAAGTCTTGGCACGCTACAGGAATGTCCTGTTGCTCATGGCGATGAATGAACAGAGGTTTTGGAAACTAGGCGAATCTCGCTATTTTCAATGTCAGTAGCTACTCCAACATCCTACGTTCCGAATGATTTTATCGGTTCTAAAACAGTTACGTTCCAAGTTGCTAAACATTTTCAACGTAATTCCATTGCATTAATTTGTAATGCAGTTGGTTGCACGCCAACCCTATGAGTTTTGGCACAAAGCGGTAGAAATACGTTTCGATAGGAGAAACGGTATTCTAACAAAGTTTCCCAACGCTCGAGCAATAGGAAGTTTGAGCACGAAATTGTTGGTAGAACAGACTACTGGAAAAACTGTAAATTCTATTGTATTTTATTAGAAGTAATCAAACATTGTCCACTGCAATTAATTATATCGGAATGTAGACGGATAACGTCGGGAGTCCGACGTTTAATTTCTCCTTTGATATCCGTAATTGTTTTCTGTACAATTATCGTCGCTTCGGAAGGAAATAAGCTTGGAGTTCCTGGAAGAGCGGGTTTCCACGCTATTGGTCGCAAAGCTTCTCGGTTTTCGTTCCCGTCGAAACTATTCAACAACGTAGTAATTGCTTCGCGAAAGACTCCGGGCTCGAACCCATAGAAACTGGCCAGCCGGTTTTGCTCGAACAACTCGGTCGTTATTAGAGAACAAAATCTAATTAGAAGTTTTTCTTAGAAGATCAATCGCGGTTATTCGTTGGCGGCTCAAGGAGTCTGACCAGTTTCCAAACAAACGAGAAATCGATTTTTCACGTTCCTACGACGGAATTGAAAGACAAGGTGGCTTCTAGAAATGTTTAGGGGTGAAAATTTTAATTTCACTCGACTGGTTTGCTAAATAAACAGCGAAACGAGCGTAGAAACGTGGCAAGCGACGCGACAGCGGAAGTCGAGGATCGCTTACGTGCTTTGAAACTTCGCGACGGTTCTCTTCGCCGGAAGTTTCAAGGCACGGTCGGGTCTTGGAAGCGGACAGACACCTTAACAGTTGGCGAGTGGTAAAATAGAAAAGTCGAGGACGTGTCTGATACAGAGAGATAAACGACTTGATAAATTTCGCGCAGGTGGAGAACTCTTTGTCGACGTACGAGCCCCACGCCTGTATCGTCGTCTACTCCATCGTGTCCACGACGAGCTTCGAAGTGGCCGGGGAGATATTAAATTACTTGTGGAGGGAACACTACACCCAGGAACGATTCGTTATCGTCGTTGGCAATAAGTCCGATCTCGTGAGAAGTCGCACAATCTCGTCGAACAGTAAGTTCCTCTAGTCGGATTAATTACGCAGGGTGGACCAATCGCAATTAGCATCTTCAGCGTCGAGACGAGGGAGGACGTATCTCCATCGCCCTAAATATTACGTTGAATAATTCAGGGTTCTATCAAATTGAAAGCAGCCGGGTTTAAAACTTTTCTAAAATTTATTTCGAAATAAATTACAAATTATAGTATAACATCCGTATATATCGAAATTATTAATCGTTGTTGCTTTACCCTGCACGCAAGATGTTTCGGTAGATTTTAATCTATTAGGATTGGAGAGAAGGTATCCGTCAACTGGCTGAGCGGTCCAATCAATAGGATATTAGTTCGATGAATCGGTAATCCGGACCTGAATCCTGGTTCGAGCTGATTCGAATTTAAATGCTCGATTGCTCTCTCTCTCTCTCTCTCTCTCTCTCTCTCTCTCTCTCTCTCTCTCTCTCTCTCTCTCTCTGGTCGGGAATAAAAATTTCCAACGCGTCGAGGGCGCGAATTTCCAATTTTTTACTGATCCCCCCCGCGGTAGAAAATCGAAAATCCTGGGATGTCGGCGTCGAGCGTTGTTCAAAGGCGGATGAAACGTGAACGAATTTCGATGAGAACCTCGGGACGGAGTTAGAGATTCCGTGTTGTTTCGCAGAGGGAAAGCTACTGGCTACGTCGAGGGACTGCAAGTTCATCGAGACGTCCAGCGGTATACAGCACAACGTGGACGAGCTTTTGGTGGGCGTTCTGAAGCAGATACGGCTTCGCGAGACGCGCGACAAGAAGCTGAAACGGCGCGGCAGCAAGGGTAGGATCCTCTCGAAGCTGCACGGCAGCAAATCCGCCCTCAGTTTGAATCTCGCCAGGGAAATACTGAGCAAGATCTGCTTGAACGACAGCAAGAGCAAGAGCTGCGAGAATCTGCACGTGCTCTAAGCACGCGATGCTTCGAGTCTCTTCGAGCGGTTGTAAATATCGATAGATCGAACCGTGTAACCTGTAACTCTAGGAACGCGGACCCATTGAGCACCAAATTATTATTTAATTACGTAAAATGTGAAATTCGATGTACATAAATGTTTTACGAGCTTGTGTAAGACACTGGTAATCGATGGGTCGATGAAATTTGATCACGATGGAGCGAGTTTTTCCAACGCGAGATTGGCAACTGGTAGAAACGATTTTCCTTGTACAGAAAATGCTCCCCGATTGTTTTACCGTTGTAACGATTTCGAGTCTACGCGAATCGTCCTGCTCGAATAAGGAAAGTTTCGCCCTTCCAATCGTGGCCGCGTCCCTCGAATAATATTTGCTCTGCCTTCCCGTTTGCCCGTCAGTGGTAGGTAAACACTGTTCGGAGTCGTAGGAAACAGGTGGAAATGCGATTGACGGCGAACACACTTCGTCACGTGTGTGCTCCGAGATGTTCGTAACATATCGTACGCGTGGCTGTGAAATCAATTTATTAGGAACGCGTTTCAGGCGGCTTCGAACCCAGAGGCAGCGAAAGATATTGGGTAAGTGTTCAACTTGCAAGAAGAAATTCTGATCAATTTATATGTGCGTGAGTAAGTACTATACACGGCAACCCTTGGTAAAAATTTAATTGGGAGATTCTAGAGGCCAAGATACGATGAAAATCAAAGGTACTAATTTGTTGATGGAGGCTTCGTTAAAAAGTTATCAACGTTTAAAGTTACGCCCGTACTGAATTTTTGTTTAGAAACCGGGTAGGATTTCAGGGGTATGTATGTTCACCAAAAATGATTGCAACTGAGCCCCGCGACTAAAGATAATTTTTTTATCCCTTCCATTAAAATTTTTCCCAGGGGTGGTCGAACGCCCATTATAAGAATTTAAACGTGTTTCCACGAATCATAGGGGATCCAAAACGCATGATAATCCACCCTGAGGGCGATGACAACAAACTAAAATCGAATTTAAAAATAAATCTCAACAGTCGTACGAAGCAGAAAAAAAACTTACGATCCATGTCGTACATGACACTTTGCCAAAACACAGTGTCTCGAAATGTAAAGTTAAATTAAATTTATGGTTCTCAACCGCGCCAAGATACCTCCGATGAATAAAAAAAGAAAGGAATTTAAAAATAAAAGCGCGTCGCGCGCGGTGTCATGGCGTTGAAATCTCGTTTCCAAGCTAATTTTTAGCAGCGTTTCGTGGCTCTCGCCTCTCTGGTAGCTCTCCCCTTTATCCACGGGCAATTTTTCACGGCCATGCTTGTCGACCGGAAATCAGAGCGTAATTCCACCTGGGAATTGATTGCGGACCAATATGCGCCGCAGCGGAGTTCGACGCCAGGCGTCGAAATTAGAATCGAAGACGAACGACCGACGTACGAGAATCCCGGTAAATTTTGGCGACTCTTTACTCGGTTCGATTATTTATTAGGATCTAATGGGCAACACGTGTTCCTCGCCTCTTTCGTTGCAAGCGGAAAATGGCTGCACAGACTTCGAACGATGTTATTCGCGAACCTCGAGGACATATCGCTGCACAGGTTGTCTCGTTTAACGCTAGATTTACGGAACCCCGACAATTTCAAGGGTTTCGAATTCCATACTTAACGCTAGATTTACAGGCACTCGTTGCGTCCACGTTTACACCAAATGCAATTTTTTCTTTTAACGAGGACTAATCATACCATCGCATCGATTACCCCTTTGACGTACGATTTAATTCCAAATAATTTCTCGATCGTATACTGTTTAAATTTAAGTAGCCGCATGATCGTGAAACTTCACATGAAAAATTTGCGACGAGTCAGGAGTTAAATTAAATGTAAATTGCTCTGTAAACCTGGCGAACAAACTATCACAGCGTTCCGTCTTGCGTTTTGTAACACAACAAAGTGCACGTATCGCGTAATATCGCTGAAATTCGTATAAAAAACGTATCGAATCTTGGAGAAGAAATATTCCCATAATATGGGTGGTTAGTTTGAGCCCTAGTCGTAGCCATGGCCGCGCTAAACAGTCGCTTTCAAGAGTTTTCCAATAATTACCCCCAATTCCAGAGTGTTTTGGACGTCGATGAAAAGCGGTACGTTTGTTGGCTCGACCGATTTAATTAATTACATTGAATTGACTCGTCCAGGATTTCGTTGATGGCAATTTCTACCTCCCACTCCTCCCTCCTCGTTGGCTGATGCGTTTCGTGCGTACGAACGAACAAATATGTTTAACGTGCTCTTAATCCAATTTGATCTCGTCGATCGTTGGCTTTCGACAAAAAATAAAATAAAAAAGAATGAAAATATTTTCTACCAGGTTCCAATGCGCGATTTTTTCCATACGCTGTTGGAAGACGCTCGATCGATTTCCGTTTCGTTTCCTTCGGCCGTGAACTCGAAGAATCCCCTTTCCGGAAACGTGGATAAGGTTCTCGAGGAAACAGCATTCAATCGAGTAGGGACGGCCTAAAAACGTACAAGACGGGAGCAACGTCTCTCCCTGTCAATATATGAGAGCGTGTGTGTGGGAGTGCGCGCGTAGAATTAATTGTATCGTTTTCGACGAGGCCGGGACGATTACCCTGATAACGATGGGAAATACTGCAGCCACAGATAATTTGATAAGCGCTTAGCATATCCGAACCTTTTAGTAGAAACTGTCGATTTTTCGCGTCGACTGCCGCTTGGGATCGTTTCTTCGAAATGTTTCCAATATTTCGAACGTTACCGGCCACTGGGAATAGTATAAAATATAAAACACGTTCGTTGGACTTGTAAATATCTCTATTTTTCGTAATATAGTTCGAGGGAGCAGTCGACGCGTCAACCCGTTCGAAACTTTCACTCGAAAGCGATCGTTCCCGCTGTCTTCTGGAGGAGAATCACGGATTCCTCGAGGTGAAAACTATTGCTATCGGTATCTGATCGTACGCGTTAACAGTGCACTCGAGCTTAAATAGAATTCGAGCGACCAACGTGCCGGGCACGAGCTAAAAATCTAAAATAATTGTAATCCTTTGATCGAGAACGTGTGTTTTTACTTCGAAGAAGCCTACGGTGATCTTTCGTTATGCGTTCGTTGCTATTGTCTATTTAATAGCGAGATACATTAAAATTTTTGCACCAATAAATATTTACGAACTTTCTCACAGTTTTCTGTCCCGATACGGCGGATATCGATGATAGAACCCAAACGCTTCGGTTCGTATAACATTGGAATTTTTTAACGTCGTTCGCGATTCTCGATGAAGCTTGATATTAAAGCAGCAGCTACCCCCCCTCGCCCCGCGACGCTTATGCATTGTCGATCGTCCCGCTATAATCGCGGAGATGCATACTTCAGAGCCATATCATGGATACCCCGAAAGGTTGGTCTATTTTTATATGAGCAAGTTCGTCCGACACGTTTCATTGCGATCCGTCATCCGCACGATCGACGTTTTTCTACTTCGTAAGAACGATATCTCGAGCGCGAGGGAACCGTGCAGGGAACGAGCCCCAGCCCCACCTCCCTCCGAACGATAGTCTTTCAACCCTTCGACTATAAACTCCGAGTCCGGGGTGCGATAATAATTTTGGAACAGCTTGAACGAACAGGGGAATCGAATTATGGAGATCGAGGATCGTGTAGCGGCGAAAGGGTTGTGACTATCGTTCGACCCTCTATAATAAAATTTCTACCAGGCTTCTGGACATAATTGTACGATAGGAATACCGACTAACGTTAACAGTAGGATGTAAATTAAAACGCGAACTTTCCACCGTGCCCAGCCTGGTGCAAATTGTAAAATAGTTGGGGGCAGAATGTTTGCAGACCATCTACTGTAATTTTAACCCTCGGACGGCGAACTTGGACCCATTGTGATCTTAATTCGAATTTTATTATTATACCACTTTGGCACAAGGCTTTTACTTTATTATTACCGTACTTGGACGTTCTGTTGTCTTTGGTATTTATTAAAAACCGGAACTTAACTCCGAAACGACTTTGCCAGGGTCCGCTGGCCGAGGGTTAAACTTATAATTTATACGTATCCATATCTCAGAGATAAACTATTAAGTTCAAATATAAGAAAAGTATTGTATTTTAAGTAGCAATGAATAATATATTCGTTAAATAAGAATATTTCTATTCTAAATTTAAAAGATCTGGACTTTACGTAGTTTGCCTTCGATAACAGAATTATATCGAAAAGAATGTAGACCGTATAAGAGTTCGAAGTCATCGCGAGATTATAGAGAGTTAATGGGAAGAGTTAACGGTGACAGGAATCATTGTACTTTCATGTTCCGGAATTATTATCCTCGAAGAGTACCTGCACGTTCGCACGACAATCAACTTATTTTGCTAACTATCGTATTGTACTCGATATCTGTAGTAGAACTTAGACATTACGTGTTCCCGTCGAAATAAAAGCAATATGCGTGATAAAAGTTTTTTTATTTAATTGCGCCTACCCCGAAGACAAAAATTATGCTTCCAAAACTAAAATATAAAAAAATCTGGTAGGAAAACGTCCAAGTTTGTCGTGAAATAGTTCGTTGCCTTCGACGCTAGATGGTGCTCGATTTGCTACCTCGAAAACTCTGATGGGAAAAATAAATAAATTCCAATTTTCAGTAATTCTAAAGATTTTTATTTACAAATTCCATATTTATATTATTGTACATATACAAGATTACATCTTACAGTAATCATCACATACAAGATTATCCAAAGAGAGTGTACTTGTAGTGATCTGCTCCTATCGAATAAACAATTTTCTTTTGTAAATCTGAATATTTACACGAGGCGATCGTAAACTGAAAAATATCAATTAACCTTCAGTGATTTCATATAAATATCCAATTCATCCTCAGTCTCAACTTCATTTCTATCTTCGGATGGACATATATTTTCAGGTGATTCTGAATCAAAATATTTGTCCTCTTCGTCTTGAGATCGTATATCTATGTTATCATATGCTTCATTGTCATCCACTGTGCTAAAATAATTAAAATATGTTTGAAATGTATAAATTAATATACTACCGGTGAGGAGTAAAGTTTTACAAATACCTGTAATCAAAGTCTGTATCCCTTCCATCCAAAAAGTTTTGATACATATTGCTCACAAATTCCTGTTTGAGTATTTGTTGTTCTGTTTTTGAAATGTTACATGGACTTTTATCTATTTGCCTGTGGATATTCTGATGTTCTATCTTGTTCTGCAATGTAACTAGTGTACCCCATTGAAAAGTCCTGTCTTCGTTACAATTTAAACGCTGTGAAACAGAAATATCGCCTTGTTCTTCGTCCGATTCGGTTTCTTCCAATACATTTTGCTCTTCTTCCTCTTGTAGCATTCGTTTCTGTTTTAAACTATCTCTTTCTATACTTTCCATTAAAAGATTTACAAATGTAATATTCTTAGTATCTATATTGTCTCTCAATTTTTTTTGTTTTTCAGTCATGTATTGTCCAACTAAGTGTTCGTATAATAATGGATTTCGTTTCATCATTTCAGATTCACTGAAGTATTCTCCCTGTTCTACTAATGTTTTCAAAGCTTGGTATCTTCTATTCTTAACATCAGTCAGTCTTGTTGAATTGTTAAAATACCTTTGTAATCTATTAATATGATAAGCAATTTCATAGCCTTTGTCTTTACGTTCCTCGAAATACTTTAAGTGTTCTTCTTTCATGTAATGTCCGAACTTCGATAAAAACAAACAATAGCTCTTTTTTAATGTATTACGTGCAATTGTTACTTTCTCTTCAAAAGTTAAATCTGGATCTTCTTTCTGTTGACTCTTAAAAATTGCTTTACTCTTACCTACATGATTTAGTAGTTCTTCTTCCAAGTCTGTCTTTTCCTCTTCTGTATTTCGAAAATTCGGTGCTGAGTTATTATTATCTTTTTCCTCTAATATCATTTTTGGTGTGTAATCTTGCGTGTGTTCCTTCTCACTCATGTTTAACCAACCTAATTGGTTTTTAATTTATATATTCCGAAATCAACAACTTTAACCACATAGTTGAATCGAGACGATTGTTGATTTATTTATCAGTAGTTTCTATATACAGTAATTTATCATGTGTTTATCAATAACTTAATATGTAATATAAACATAAATATTTTTTGTTTATGTTTTTATATCAATGTTTTTCCTTATGATTTGTGACACATCACTTCACGTCGTATCAGTGATTCGAGACTGAGCACCGGGTGCACTACTCGCGCTATGCCAGATCACGCGTAACTGAGCTCGTAGAGTTTCGGAGACTCGACAAAGGCAAACTGACACATGCTCTCTTTCTCGATTCTCCGAAGCTGCCCGAAGTAATTTCGGACCGTCTCGTGGGAGTCGAGAGAGGAAGGCTCATTTGCCTTCGCGCACTTGACGGCATACGATTCCAAGTCTCGACTGGCCAAGTATTTATTGTTTGCCGACCTATGTAGACGAACATAAGCAAGATACTATAATGAACAAAATTTCGTGAAATTTTTCTTACGGAAATACACGTTTTAAGACCCCCCGATCATATTTGAATTATTGAACAAAAATAAATTCATTCTTATTATTCCTATATATGAGCGGACATATGTATATCATTTCAGATATCACTTCTGATCCATCTGGCAACGTATAACCATTACTGCTGGCTACTGCCAGACTCTCCCAGCCTCTCCCAGCCTCTGTTGGACTCTCCTGACCTACGCTTATATTTCTGACGACGTATAACAATTACGACTGTCTTTGCTTGTCACTCCTTGCCACTGCTGGCCTCCGCTGGCCTCTGCTGACAACTGCTGACCACCACCGATGCTTCCGACAACGTGTAACGATTACTACATGTTACTGCTTGCCCCTTCTGGCTTCTGCTGGCCTCCGCTGACCACTGCTGACCACCCCTGATACTTCCGACAACGTATAATGATTCCTGCTTGCCCCAGCCGGTCTCCGCTTGCCTCTGCATGCCTCTGCATGCCTCTGCAGGCCTCTACTATCCCCTGCTGACCACTGCTGACCACCCCTGATACTTCCGACAACGTATAATGATTCCTGCTTGCCCCAGCCGGTCTCCGCTTGCCTCTGCATGCCTCTGCATATCTCTGCAGGCCTCTACTATCCCCTGCTGACCACTGCTGACCACCCCTGATACTTCCGACAACGTATAATGATTCCTGCTTGCCCCAGCCGGTCTCCGCTTGCCTCTCCATGCCTCTGCATGCCTCTGCATGCCTCTGCAGGCCTCTACTATCCCCTGCTAACCACTGCTGACCACCCCTGATACTTCCGACAACGTATAATGATTCCTGCTTGCCCCAGCCGGTCTCCGCTTGCTTCTGCATGCCTCTGCATGCCTCTGCAGGCCTCTGCATGCCTCTGCAGGCCTCTACTATCCCCTGCTGTCCCCTGCTGACCACTGCTGACCACCCCTGATACTTTCGACAACGTATAATGATTCCTGCTTGCCCCAGCCGGTCTCCGCTTGCCTCTGCATGCATCTACATGCCTCTGCAGGCCTCTACTATGCCCTGCTGTCCTCTGCTGACCACTGCTGACCACCCCTGACCCCCTAACAACTTCTGTTAATATATATATGTATTAAAACATTGTATAATGTAAATCTATGGCAATAAATGATATAATTACAAGGAATTCTAAGTGTTCTCATCATTTTTTACCTTTCTTTTCCTCTCCAAATCATTACTTTAGTTATAAGACCCCCTGAAACTTGGTTTCCCTGAACCCCTTTCAAAGTCCCGAACCAGCTGGAAAGTCCTGAAACAATTGGAAAGTCCTGAAACAGTTGTAAAGTCCTGAAACAGCTGAAAAGTCCTGAAACAGCTGGAAAGTCCTGAAACTCAAAACTTTGCCAAAAATTCAGGGTTTCCCAGAAATTTCAGGACTTTGCAGCTGTTTCAGGACTTTCCAATTGTTTCAGGGCTTTCCAGCTGTTTCAGAACTTTCGAATTGTTTCAGGCCTTTCAAAATTCCAAAGCGTTTCAGGACTTTTCGGCTGTTTCAGGACTTTCAAAATTCCAAAGCGTTTCAGGACTTTTCGGCTGTTTCAGGACATTCAAAATTCCAAAGCGTTTCAGGACTTTTCGGCTGTTTCAGGACTTTCAAAATTCCAAAGCGTTTCAGGACTTCTCGGCTGTTTCAGGACTTTCCAATTGTTCCAGGACTTTCAAAATTCCAAAGCGTTTCAGGACTTTTCGGCTGTTTCAGGACTTTCCAGCTGTTTCAGGACTTCCCAATTGTTTCAGGACTTTTTCGGAAATCGGCGAAATTTTCGAGCAAAAACTTTTCCACGAAAAAAATGAATTTCTCGATTTTGCCAACAAGTACGAGAGCTGGACACTTTGAGAATCCAATTTTAACCTGAAAAACGGTCTCTTAAAACTAAGGGAATGATTTGGAGAGGAAAAGAAAGGTAAAAATGATGAGAACACATAGAATTCTGTTAAATTATATCATTTATTGCATAGATTTACATTATACAAGGTTTGAATACTTATACATCATGTCAGAAGTTGATAACAAAGGTCAGCACCGGTCAGCAGTGGTCAGCAGTGGTCAGCAGTGGTCAGCAGGGGTCAGCAGGGGTCAGCATGGGTCCGGAGGGGACAGTAGAGGCCTGCAGGGGGCAGTAGAGGCCTGCAGGGGGCAGTAGAGGCCTGCAGGCGCAAGCAGAGACCAGCAGGGGCAAGCAGTAACAAGTAGTGATAGTTATACGTTGTCGGAAGCATCAGTGATGGTCAGCAGTGGTCAGCAGGGGACAACAGGGGATAGTAGAGGCCTGCAGAGGCATGCAGAGGCAAGCGGAGACCGGCTGGGGCAAGCAGGAATCATTATACGTTGTCGGAAGTATCAGGGGTGGTCAGCAGTGGTCACCAGGGGACAACAGGGGATAGTAGAGGCCTGCAGAGGCATGCAGAGGCATGCAGAGGCAAGCGGAGACCGGCTGGGGCAAGCAGGAATCATTATACGTTGTCGGAAGTATCAGGGGTGGTCAGTAGTGGTCAACAGGGGACAGCAGGGGATAGTAGAGGCCTGCAGAGGCATGCAGAGGCATGCAGAGGCATGGAGAGGCAAGCGGAGACCGGCTGGGGCAAGCAGGAATCATTATACGTTGTCGGAAGTATCGGGGGTGGTCAGCAGTGGTCACCAGGGGACAACAGGGGATAGTAGAGGCCTGCAGAGGCATGCAGAGGCAAGCGGAGACCGGCTGGGGCAAGCAGGAATCATTATACGTTGTCGGAAGTATCGGGGGTGGTCAGCAGTGGTCAACAGGGGACAGCAGGGGATGTAGAGGCCTGCAGAGGCATGCAGAGGCAAGCGGAGACCGGCTGGGGCAAGCAGGAATCATTATACGTTGTCGGAAGTATCGGGGGTGGTCAGCAGTGGTCAACAGGGGACAGCAGGGGATAGTAGAGGCCTGCAGAGGCATGCAGAGGCAAGCGGAGACCGGCTGGGGCAAGCAGGAATCATTATACGTTGTCGGAAGTATCGGGGGTGGTCAGCAGTGGTCACCAGGGGACAGCAGGGGATAGTAGAGGCCTGCAGAGGCATGCAGAGCAAGCGGGACCGGCTGGGGCAGCAGGATCATTAACGTTGTCGGAAGTATCGGGGGTGGTCAGCAGTGGTCACCAGGGGCAGCAGGGGATAGTAGAGGCCTGCAGAGGCATGCAGAGGCAAGCGGAGACCGGCTGGGGCAAGCAGGAATCATTATACGTTGTCGGAAGTATCGGGGGTGGTCAGCAGTGGTCACCAGGGGACAACAGGGGATAGTAGAGGCCTGCAGAGGCATGCAGAGGCATGCAGAGGCAAGCGGAGACCGGCTGGGGCAAGCAGGAATCATTATACATTGTCGGAAGTATCAGGGGTGGTCAGCAGTGGTCAACAGGGGACAGCAGGGGATAGTAGAGGCCTGCAGAGGCATGCAGAGGCATGCAGAGGCAAGCGGAGACCGGCTGGGGCAAGCAGGAATCATTATACGTTGTCGGAAGTATCAGGGGTGGTCAGTAGTGGTCAACAGGGGACAGCAGGGGATAGTAGAGGCCTGCAGAGGCATGCAGAGGCATGCAGAGGCAAGCGGAGACCGGCTGGGGCAAGCAGGAATCATTATACGTTGTCGGAAGTATCGGGGGTGGTCAGCAGTGGTCACCAGGGGACAACAGGGGATAGTAGAGGCCTGCAGAGGCATGCAGAGGCAAGCGGAGACCGGCTGGGGCAAGCAGGAATCATTATACGTTGTCGGAAGTATCAGGGGTGGTCAGCAGTGGTCAACAGGGGACAGCAGGGGATAGTAGAGGCCTGCAGAGGCATGCAGAGGCAAGCGGAGACCGGCTGGGGCAAGCAGGAATCATTATACGTTGTCGGAAGTATCGGGGGTGGTCAGCAGTGGTCACCAGGGGACAGCAGGGGATAGTAGAGGCCTGCAGAGGCATGCAGAGGCAAGCGGAGACCGGCTGGGGCAAGCAGGAATCATTATACGTTGTCGGAAGTATCGGGGGTGGTCAGCAGTGGTCACCAGGGGACAGCAGGGGATAGTAGAGGCCTGCAGAGGCATGCAGAGGCAAGCGGAGACCGGCTGGGGCAAGCAGGAATCATTATACGTTGTCGGAAGTATCGGGGGTGGTCAGCAGTGGTCACCAGGGGACAACAGGGGATAGTAGAGGCCTGCAGAGGCATGCAGAGGCAAGCGGAGACCGGCTGGGGCAAGCAGGAATCATTATACATTGTCGGAAGTATCAGGGGTGGTCAGCAGTGGTCAACAGGGGACAGCAGGGGATAGTAGAGGCCTGCAGAGGCATGCAGAGGCATGCAGAGGCATGCAGAGGCATGCAGAGGCAAGCGGAGACCGGCTGGGGCAAGCAGGAATCATTATACGTTGTCGGAAGTATCAGGGGTGGTCAGTAGTGGTCAACAGGGGACAGCAGGGGATAGTAGAGGCCTGCAGAGGCATGCAGAGGCATGCAGAGGCAAGCGGAGACCGGCTGGGGCAAGCAGGAATCATTATACGTTGTCGGAAGTATCGGGGGTGGTCAGCAGTGGTCACCAGGGGACAACAGGGGATAGTAGAGGCCTGCAGAGGCATGCAGAGGCAAGCGGAGACCGGCTGGGGCAAGCAGGAATCATTATACATTGTCGGAAGTATCAGGGGTGGTCAGCAGTGGTCAACAGGGGACAGCAGGGGATAGTAGAGGCCTGCAGAGGCATGCAGAGGCATGCAGAGGCAAGCGGAGACCGGCTGGGGCAAGCAGGAATCATTATACATTGTCGGAAGTATCAGGGGTGGTCAGCAGTGGTCAGCAGAGGCCAGCGGAGGCTAGTGGAGGCCAGCAGTAGCAAGCAGTGGCATGCAGAGACCAGCGGGGGCAACTAATAGCAAGTTGTAATCGTCATACGTTGTCAGAAGTATGAGGAATGGTCAGCAGCGGTCAGGAAAGGTCGGGGGAGGCAGGCAGAATTCAGTAGTAATCGTTATACGTCGTCAGAAATATAAGCGGAGGTCAGGAGAGGCCAACAGAGGCTGGGCAGTCGAGACTTGGAATCGTATGCCGTCGACGTGAGGTCGAATGTTAGTTGTTCAAGTGCGAGAAGGCAAATGAGCCTTCCTCTCTCGACTCCCATGAGACGGTCCGAAATTACTTCGGGCAGCTTCGGAGAATCGAGGAAGGGGGCATGTGTCAGTTTGCCTTTGTCGACTCTCCGAAACTCCACGAGCTCACGTACGCGTGATCTGACATGTGTGAGTAGGGCACCGTCGGTGCTTTTGTGGCACCGCTGGTCCCTAAAGTAAACGTTTCTCTAGAACTTGGCCATACCAGAAGGAAGATTAAATTCCTAATATTTGTCACTATGTTATACTTATGAAATCCTAATGATTTTATGAAAACCGAAATTTTGCCAGGATTTTGATCCACTTAACCACGAGGACGTTATCGTCGTAAAGAAACATTCGGCGGAAGAATTTCGAATATAATTACGGTTTCTGTTTTGTTGTATTAGTGAAATTATGTCGAAGGTAAACACGTTGTATAATTATTTCAAGTCACCGAAAACTGACAAGAGACCGAATAATAAACCGGTGCCTGAAGCTAAACCTTCAACGCCGAAAAGAACGAGGGAACAAAGGAACACAGGTATATCGCGAAATATTTTATAATAAATTTATAACAACTTAGAATGAATTTGGTGTCTCGAACTCTTGGAAAAAACTATAAAGTGAAACTTACTTTAAGCAGTCTTTGTTATTGCATGTAGCTAAAACTCCAAATAAGGGCAAAGAAAATAAAAATGTTGAAGATCGAAAAAAACTTTACAAAGACAATGAGGAAGATGAAGAGGATGAAGAAGTTGAACCAGTACGGCCAAAAAAACGTAGATTGATCATACCTGATGAAGAATCTGGAGAAGATTCTGGAGATGAATTTAAACCCGGTTTGTACAAAATTTTGTTTGATCTATATTGCCAATATTATGGCAAAGGAAGGGAATGTTTCTGACTTAATTTTATGCAGATCCAAAAGATGTGTCAGAGGAATCTGATTCAGGCAGCGAAGGAGACCCTGAAAGCGAAATACAGACACAAAGTGAAGAGGAAACACCAGAGGTAAAAGTTTAGTTGTGCTTTGAAACATACAATTTTGGTTACTTATTGCAGACTCTATTTCAGAAGAAAAGGAAATTGCCTAATGACAGAAGGAGTAAAAATCAAGGAGGCACAAAGAAAATTGCCAAATTAGTAAGCTCATGGTTGCGTGTTATTTTATTTTGCCAGCTAGTTTGAATCTGATCTTTGATTAACTTAAATTAAATTTCTTTAGGATAATAAAGAAATAAAAGTACCTCAACAAAATCTGAACCAAGGATCAAATAATAGTGTTTCAGAGTCATGGCCACATTTGAAGTATGATTTTCTTCAACCAAATAAAATAAAAGATATTAGTAGAAAATCTCCAGATGATCCAAATTATGATCCTAAAACAGTTTATGTTCCTTTAGACTTTCTAAATCAACAAACCCCAGTAAGATTGGAAATTTAACTTTATTCGATACTTAGCAATGAAACATTGAATTTTCTATAGCATGATCTTTACAGGCAATGAGACAGTGGTGGGATTTGAAAAGCAAACATATCGACTGTGTTTTATTCTTTAAAGTAGGCAAGTTTTATGAATTGTACCACATGGATGCTGTCACTGGAGTCAAAGAACTTAATCTCACGTATATGCGGGTAAGTATGATCTTTTCTTTTGCAAAAATTACAATGGTTCAACATAAATGGGATGATACAGGGAGAGTTTGCACATTCTGGATTTCCTGAAATCGGATACGGTCGTTTCTCGGGAAGCCTTATAGAGAAAGGATACAAAGTAGCTAGGGTGGAACAGACAGAGAATCCAGATATGATGACACAACGGTGTAGTAAAAGTAAATTGCTAGAAAAATGTTGCATTCATTTTGCTCTATATTTTTTAGCACGATTCAATTCCATGTACAATGTTTAGTGAATAGGCCAACAAAGTATGACAAGGTTGTTAAGAGAGAAATTTGTCAAATAAGCACCAAGGGTACAAGAGTATTCACTTCATTGGATGTAGAACCATCAACACCGAATTCGAACTATCTATTGTCTCTTGTCGAAAAACGTCCATCTGGTACAAACCTATCCCATTATGGAGTATGTTTCTTGGATACAACAATAGGGGATTTTATCCTTGGGCAATTCGAAGATGACCGTTGCAATTCCAGAATATTGACCTTACTTGCTCATTATCCTCCAGTTCATGTAAGGTCTTCTTCCTCGCGAGCATATATTCCAGATTAAAATTTGCCAAATTAAAATTCATTCGTCTCATTTTAGGTTGTATACGAACGTGGTAATTTGTCTCAAAAAACATTGCAAATTTTAAATAACAATTTAGCAGCGTGCATTAAAGAACCACTTCTACGCGAATCTCAATTCTGGTCGTCTACAACCACATTGAAAGTATGCATAACACTACTCTATTTCAATAATCTCGATCTACTATTTATTCCTAAAGATTTTTTTCTCAATTTATAGAATCTCCACGAGGGAGAATACTTTAAATCAGATTCTAGTTTTTCATGGCCTACAGGCTTGAAGCCATTTCTTAATGAAGGTAAATGTTCTTTTTTTATGCATATTTTCTAAGCCTGAGCTTTCATTTTTATCAGTACATTTGTTCTCTTTTATTTAGGCGACTCTTTAGGCTTAACTCCAGACGATGACAAAGAATTAGCCGTGCATGCTTTAGGGGGATGCGTTTATCTACTCAAAGAATACTTCCTCGAGCAACAATTGTTGTCTCGAGGACGATTCAAATTGTACGTTCCACCGGATTTCTCGAGCGAGCCTTCCAAGACCACTAAATTTGCAAATAATATGGTACTTAGAAATTTCATCTACCTACATGTCTTTATCAATTTTTGATGTTGCTACAATGTTTCATTAGGTAGGTTATAACTTCTGAAACATCGTAGCGACATCAAGACGGCTGCTTTTGGGTTCTCCCTATTATAATTATATATTATTATCAGGTTTTAGATGCTGTCACTATTAACAACTTGAGAATTTTTGGCGAAGGGTCTCTGATGAAAACATTAGATCGTTGTTGTACCGCGTTCGGGAAAAGGTATGTTTTAAGCGAAAATATTAGTTTCGTATTGTTTCGATCGAACTTACTTCGTTACAGATTATTACGCGAATGGATCTGTCGACCATCCTGCCGCAAAGATGTTATAATCGAACGTCAAGAAGCTATTCAAGAATTGATGGATCGTTCAGATACGGTACAGACTGCTCGTAGCATATTAGCCGGTCTTCCGGATCTAGAAAGATTATTAAGCAAGTGAGTCGAATTATTTAAAAAGGTTGTAGGGTTAAGATACGTACGGTTCACTGTACAAACCCTGTAATTATAGGATTCACGGTCATGGAAATTTGGCAAGAATGAATAATCATCCTGATGGCAGAGCAATTATGTTCGAGGGTAAAACCTATTCAAAGAGAAAGATTCTAGATTTTACTAATATTCTGGATGGGTTTGAGGATGTCTTAAAAGTAGTTGCTTTATTCGAAGGTACGTACATTGATTATACAGGGTGAATCGTGTAACTTGATATGCTTAATTTATTCTGTTACTAGTGAATTATTGCCTTTTAGATTTCAAGAGTGGTTTGTTAAGCCGATACATTAAAGTGGAGCCGGATGGTGAATTTCCTTCGTTAAGAGAAACTTTAGATTATTTTAAGGTAAAGTTTATTTTTAACAGCTAGCATTTGACAAAATATGAACTCGCGATGTATATTTCAGTCCGCGTTCGATCACGAAGAAGCTAAAAAGGAAGGCTGTATCGTTCCGAAAGAAGGAGTCGACTCTGAATACGACTCCGTTTTAATGGAGCTTGCGGAAGTGAAGAAGGATGCGGAACAGTACCTCGTAAAGCAAAGACAGCACTTTGGCGTGAAAGTGACGTATCACGGATCGGATAAAAAACGTTATCAAATAGAAATTCCGGACTCGCAAGTAAAGAAAGTTGGTTCTGGATTCGAACTTCAGTCGCAGAGAAAAGGATTCAGGCGTTATTACACCGCCGAGGCAAAGGTTTCAATTTTCTCAATAATAGCATTCTAACTGAAAGGTAAGAAATATTTAACTTACACTAATCGTACCACCATCGCTAGGAACTTTTAAGTCGTCAAATAAATGCCGAAGAACACAGAAATAAAGTGTTGAAGGATTTGAACAGCAGAATATTTGCACAGTTTAGCGAAAAATATGACATGTGGAACTCCGCCATTTATAAACTGAGTACCTTGGACGTTCTAATCTCTTTAACCGAATATGCTCTCAGCGGTGAGATGTGTATACCCGAAGTCAACGATGGCACGGATGGGAATGTAATTTTAATACGATTTCACTATTGTTATTTACAAAACTAGTGCCATATCGAACATTATTTGAACGCGTATTTTTGATAGATATTTATTGATATGCGAGACGGACGACATCCATGCTGTCATTCAGATAATTTCATACCTAATGATACTTTGTTGGGATCCGGGGATTCTGCTTCTTTCGTGATTTTGACTGGGCCAAACATGGGCGGTAAATCGACGCTGATGCGCCAAGTCGCGCTTCTCACGATAATGGCACAAATGGTACGTTTTATCGAACAGAGACGCGATACAGAAAATCAACTTGGATCGTTTACAGGGAAGTTTCGTACCGGCAAGTTCTTGTAGTTTCACAATAGTGGATCGTATCTTTACGAGGCTAGGAGCAAACGATGATATACTAGCTGGTCAGAGTACATTTTTGGTCGAACTAAGCGAAACCTCGGCGATATTGCAACACGCTACACCGTACTCGTTAGTTTTGTTGGACGAATTGGGTAAGGAAATGTTTAATTACAATCCTGACGATGGAGTTACGAAAATATTAATACTATCGTGTAATCGCAGGTCGCGGTACATCAACGTACGATGGTACAGCCATAGCTGCGTCAGTCGTAAACGCGCTTACAAAACTAAAGTGTCGCACATTATTCTCGACGCATTACCATTCTCTGGTAGAAGATTACAAAAACGATAAAAATGTTACATTGGCTCATATGGTACGTCATATGGTTGTCTTCGGTGAAGCGTACTTAGGTTCAAGATGAAATAAAACCACTTGATTTTAATTTCTTTGTAGGCGTGTATGGTGGAGAACGAGGAAGAGGATGAAATCACTCAGGAAACTGTAACATTCTTATATAAGCTTAGCGAAGGAGCTTGTCCAAAATCTTACGGTTTCAATGCTGCTCGATTAGCTGGCGTGCCATCCATAATCACAAATCGGGCGCATGAAATTTCTAAACAGCTCGAGCAGGAAACCAATCAGAAACACTTCTTCGCCGCTGTATGCAAAGCCGATGGACCAGCTATAAGAGACCTGATTGCTGCAATGTAAAATCATACTGCAAGCTTGTTCATTAAGTATTAAATTGTGATCGATTTCATGTTGTGTTTCGTGTTGTGTAATTTGCAAGTTTATATTTTTGTATTTTGTATTTATACTATTATATTTTGTATTAAAAGGTTTTTCCATTAATAATAATTCCAGATACATTGCAACATTACATTTCTTTGCATAATTATTTCACGTCCGTTATCGAATTGGCCGAACCCAATGTATTTTCAGAGTATCGTTCGATGTTGTTACAAGCACGTTTAAATAAAAGACAGGGACGAGGTTTTGTTGCTTACAAAATTTTATTAATTAATGCCAGAGTACAAAAGGGCTACTTATGACGAATACGATGCGATACAAACAATGTAATTTTACTCACACCAAACGACGAACAAAATTTCGTTTCGGAAACGTAAGAAATAATCGTGCGTGCACGAGTCTTGCCGTGAAATAAATATAATCCTTATGCGTTGTATGTCGTGAAATAAAGAATAAGCAAGGTAGCGAAGTTCTAAACGAATATTGTCAATACATCCGATAGAATTCTATGTTTTTTAATTATTATTAATATTATTATTTAAGAAGGACCGTAGGTGTGCGGAGCGATAAATAGACAGAAATAATAATCGTTATTTCGTTACGTTGGTAAATCGAGCGAGTATGAATATTTGAGTGTAACTTCCTACATACGATTAGCAAGTTGTATTTCGGCGTAAATATGAATTACGCATCTTGGTGCGTAAAGAAAAGCCGTTTCTTATCGACGATTAAAGAAAAATAGGAACCGTGCTCTCTCTCTCTCTCTCTCTTCTCTTCCTAAAATCGAGCATGCCGCCATGCAGAAGAAAACTATATATACGATTAAAAAGGCACGGAAATTAAGAAAGCACTTGACTGTTTTAATGGGTTACAAGGATGTACTTTTATTTTCTTCGAATAACATATGCCTACTTCTAATGTACAATTCCGAGGTTTTCATCGAACGTTATCTAAATATTAAATGTCGTCTGTCGAGCACGCTCTCTCGTTCTAACTGGACGTTCGCGTTAAATTCCCTTTTATCATCAATTAGTACGATTTCCCTATCGAAAATACCAACCGATGGCAGTCTAATTTAAGAAGCGTGTCTTCCTGGCGCTCTTCATCGCAAGATCTCGCGTCATAAAATTTTATAGGTTATACCCTTATCCGACGGGAGTCGATCCAAAAATTACTTTCTTCTGTCTTTCTGTCTCTCTCCCCCTTCTCCTCAATCCTTTCGTTTCATTCTCGGCGTTCTAATTTCGGATTAACGGTTCAAGAAGATCATCGATATCGAGCGGACACGGTCTCGGAATAATTAGAAAGGTGCCGGTTGTTTCAAGAATCAACCACGACCGTACCCGTGGACAAAGTCTCTCGAAAATAGGGCATCGTTCGAATTACTATCTTTTACGCCCTTCGTATTCTTTTTTTTTTTTTGTTTGTTTTTTTTAAATCCAAAAAACGACGAGTTCTATTATTATCTTAAAAGTTACGCATTTACAAAACTGCGGGGAACGAAGATTCTTGGGGAATGATGTTTTCCGTAAAACTGAACGACTATTTTAACCCGCCTCGGCAAATGGGACCTAAGATTCGACCGTCAAGAGGATGACATTTGCTCGTTTTCTTTAAATTTCGCATGACCCTTTCTTCCCTCCTTCCGTTTTGTCAGCCCTTTTAGTGCCGTTGCAACTCGTTCGACGATACCAATTTACCAATTCGCCCACGTCCACACCCGAGCAAACCAACAATTAATAAATACAACAATACAAGCGAAACGAACAAACGAAACACCAGTCAATGTTTAAACTTTCGTGCAGGGCGATTCGCGATGACGAATCTGCAGCATGTAAAAACGATACAAATATGTTATACGAACATACGGGTTTTCCAAGCTGGAGGCTCGAATCGCCCCGACACAATGCTCGAGAACAACACGACAAACAGCAGAGTTTAATAAACAACTCTAGAATCAATATCTCGCGAACACGATAAAAAAAAAGTAACAATTTTGTCAAATGAATTTTCTCGCGAAGGAAGCAAAACCGCGATGAACGGTTCCCTCGAAAAAAAACATCGTCGTCGTCACTCGCTCTTCCTTTTTCCTAACCTCCAAACGCGCGGAGGCGCAACGCGAAGAACGAATTCTTCGATAACGTTTCGGAATCGTCCTGGTGGGTCGATGGCATTTAGAGTATTTTTTGGTCGAATTGTCGGGCACTGAAAGGGTTAACGGCGCGCGGAGGAGGATGCCGACGAGCGGTTTTAATCCCGATGCAGACTTTTACCAGAGTCCGGATGAGAATCCACCGGGAGGGACTCGGCCACGGACCGGAGCCTTCGCGGCCGGCGACGAGTCGTTTGATTTCTCGCCGACGCTGGAGTTCGAGCTGGATGTTCCGTTTTGCACGGCTGGCCCGTTGTTCTGTGATTCCGTGTAACCCGCGCCAGTCACCGGATTAACATCTGCGAAGAACAGTTTCGTTCGTAAAACGGACGCTAGGGGGCCGAGGAAGCCGCCATCTTCTTCCTCGAACGATTCAATTTACCGAAAACACGCTGTGAACGACGACGCGAAGTACAACAATACCTTGACGGATACTCGCGTTTCGAGGAACCCATGAACGTCTTTCGAAGTTGCTACTGTAGGAAATTTCTTTTTTAGATCTCGAGTCACACTTTTGCGGAAAGATTTTACGGACGAGTATCCCTTAGGGCATCGCTGTATCCTTCTCTATGGCACTATTATAATGAATCTGATAGAACGCTACTATTTGGATTATTTGAGTACGAAGGATCCACCTTTTGTACATTTGTCTTCGGTGACCACGCGGAAATCGATTCTCCTCGTTGCTATGATTTCTATCCTCTGGGCAGATCGATTCTATACCAGTGGCATGCAATAATTGTCAGGCGTATAAAAATACCGTGTCGTTCGAACAAGATTAGCATAGCAGTACGAATTCGTTTGATGAATTACGTTTTCATACGCCTGATGGAGGCGTCTATAACACTGTCATAGAGATATCAAGGATTTCACGCGAAAACGGCATGCTGGTTTTTTTCATCTACTTCATCCGCATGATCGAAATGGGAACATGGGCACACAAGTAATTTACTCGACAGGCAATTAAGCGTAAAATTGTAAGAAACAACCAGCTGGTTCGATGCACCGATAAAGAACACTCGAATATACAGTGAGGAGCATAACTGTACCGATTTATACAAAATTGGTTCGGTTATGCCTCGTACTGTATCTATATTTGTATCGTGTGAGCTACTTTGAGGAACTTTAGTCTACCATGTGGCAATGAACTTACCGTTCCATTACAGACTATTTGTTGACCTATGAAAGGCTGTAGAATTGCTCGAATCGTGACTCGTTTCCTCTCGTGTGTAAAGAATCTATTTTTAATAGTGATTTTAACATAGCGAGATTCGAGCAAGTCTAGGTTAGGTGGAGATGGAGAGCATGGGTGAAGATCGAAGAGGGCGACACTAGGCAACCGACAATAAGACCAAAGTGTTATTTAAGCCAAATTTGAAGTACTTTCATTTTAGCCATAATAGTACCCCAAACGCAATTTTGTTACTCTTTGGACTATTGTCGAAATTGTTGTTTCTCGGGGAACTAAAATTATTCTCAATAGAAACCCAAACTAGCTATACGTTAAGATTATCCCGCTATCCCAGTACTGTAACTAATACTAACGCATACATTTAAAAAAAACAACACACATAAAAAACAAAACAAATTATATAACAATATCAAGGTTAGATCGAGTCCTCTTCTTCTGCGGCAAAATAAAATACATAAATCATTCGCTGACGGAAGCTGAATAAAGGAAAAAACCGACAGGTTAAAAACTCGGTGGTTAAAACATTACATGATAAACAAATTTCATTCCCATGGGCCGTGTTGCGCCGCCAAAAACAATTACAGGATCGCTGACTGTTCTTTATTGAATGTCGAGATTGTGCAAATTGAAATTAAAGATATCTAATTAAAATGTGATCCTCTGATAGTTTCTAGCGGTGCACAGGAGCGATCTATCGCTCTTTCTTTACCTAATTTGCATGACAGAAATAAATGGTAAAAAAAATTGAACGTATCCCGAGGAAGAGGGGGTACAAAAGAGGGAAGGTTAGAAGACATCTAGATCGAAATCGAGGCTGAAAGAGAAGATGACCGTGGTCGCTTAAAACTGAGAAAATAGTGACACACGTTACCTCGACACCTTCGTGCGCTGCGCCTCATGGGCGTCACGTCAACTCCGTCTCCGGTGACCGGGTTGCGCGAAATGCAGGATGATCCACCTGCCGGGGTTTTCGAGCGGGTAGGAAGGCACAGAGGACGACAGTTCACAGCCCGGTGCACGCAAAGCGACACGTACCAGAATTCACCACCACCACCACCACCACCCCCATGCACCGACACGCCGTAGCAAACCCACAACCGTAACCCGTAATTGTGTTAGTGCACGTGCCCTATTCGCACGGACCAGTCCAAGATATCTTTCACCAGAATTCCCCACACAAAATCGACGTGAACTAAGGTTAACTGCTTCCCTTCCAGCGTATCCTACTCGACAAAATGATAACGGTTTTTTTAAGAATAACTCTCCCGCGACGATACAGAGGGCGGTCATTTTTAGGAAGGAACCAGTTGCGCCGTCTGAACGACGACCGATGCATTACGTTTCTGGATCACGTGCACGATCGGGGGACAGTGATTTATGTCGTGAGAGAGGAAATTCGCCAGCTCCAATATCAATCAAGACGCCTGTCCGGAGGAAAAGGGATCTTGATTGGTGCCAGAGCTGGGGACTTTCTCCTATGAAATATATCCTTCGTATGCACTCGATGACGTCAAAAATAGAGACGCGTGTAACCAATATTATGGACGTCGAAATGCAGTGGATCCAGATAAACGGTCGGGTCAAGTAAAGGTCTTGAAATACCGTGTGAATGTAGCTCTAATATATCACGGTGAATTTAAAGAGTTCTTTTTGTAAAAATTTTGTAAAAGATATGCACAGACTCTTTGAAGCACTTTTCAAGCATTGATCAATGAGCATAGATCACGTTGTATATCAAAATCAGAGCTGATCAAGTGTATAGTGTTTGTAACAGTTATGCATACTTGATAAATATTGGCCATTAATTTAATTACAGTAAATGTGGGTGTTGCATTGCAGTGCATCGGTAGCCGTACAGGTGGCACCTATGGTTTTTTCTCAAAGATGGCTGCCTCGGCCTGTGAGTCATCACAGAGGCTTATCCGATACATTAATGGTTTCAAAACTGGAATAGTATGGCGGGGGATAGTCTTTCGATGATTTTCAGCAGCCAATTAATTCTGGTATCCCCTTGTCGAGTAGAATACTTGTAATTTTTAAACGAATATCAACTATTTTAACGCGTATAGATCACCATCGTTGAAACCTTGCAATTATAATAAATTTTGGTATCTTGGACGCGTTCGTGCGAGAAGAACAAGTACAAAAATAAGAAAGAAACAGAGTGTACTATACTATACTTGTGTGAAATAAGGCAAGCACAGAAAAGCAAACATAATCAATGCAAAAGAAAATAGGGCTCTGTCGAATTAAAATACCAATGAAGAGAAAATAAAGATACGTGTTAAAGAAAGTAGCCACTAGTAGTTCTCAAATTGTTTACAAATTTTCGAAATCGTCACACGTAAAACCCAAGCAATCGTCAGTCGTGGTGAAATCATAGGAACAATTAAAAGTCCATTGGCAATTTGTTAATGATCGACACGGTTAAATCACGAGCACGTACGATTTAACAAACAAGTATTCTTTTTAGATTGTGCACGTTAATTCCACAACGGGAAAACAACAAAGAGTTATTGATGCATTTGCAGAATATAAAGATGTTCGCGTGAGAAACCGATGAGAAATACTTGTCGCAAGCGGGAAATGTGTTACGGTGAACGGACTTTTAACTTAACAGCTAAGGTACGATAACGCGACTAACTCAAAATATGTGTTTCTATTATCGTGGCAGGCCCTGTTGTAAATCGGAAAACGTCCATCGACCGAGAACCTTCGATTGTTCGTTCTGGGGGAAATTAACGTTTCTACGAGTCTAAGTAAAACCAAACAAAGAATAATAAGAAACAATAAACGCTAAACGTGATTCTACGTGACGTTTAGAATTCCAAGATTTGATTTGCATTAGCAATTGAACGGTTTTGCACGATTAAAGTAAAGAACTCGAGCAAACGTGATAACAGTGGAAAGGAACTCGGTTCCGTGAATTCTTAGATTCGAAGATAGTCACTATCGCGATTTATGAATCACGTTTTTAATCAGACCTTACGGTTTTACTGCTTTAACGCGACACAATCGATCGAGCAGCTTATAACCGAATCGTGGGCAAACGGTGATAATGCAAATCGGACTTGAACGATGGCAAATCGGAGAAAATGATATGTACAGATTTCTTGGAACGAAACGCGAGCACCCGTAATCAAATAAGAATGTGTAGGATGAGTGTCGTGTCATCTACTCGAATGTGTCTCTTTGCACACTTACGAAATCGTTTGATTCTCCTAAAAGCTGCTTGCGAACAATTCAAGAGGATGACTTGGTGAAAGCCATTGGATTAGTTACAAAAAAGTTCGTTCGTGTCTCGCTAGCTCCAACAGACCGACAAAACGGAAGCGAATCGAATTATTTTACGTTTCCTTGGTTCGTTGTTAAGATATCCGAACTCGTGATCTCGAGAAGAGCATTCGGATGCTCGCGATAACCGAGCAAAATCATCGAGAGAGTGCTGTACGGAGAAAAAGCGTAACGCTCGAGCAAAGGTGTCCTAATTTCAAACAATTCTCCGGCATCGATAATCGATAGAGAAGTGCATTACGTTAATCCCGAAAAAGAGCCTGCGACACACAGACACATATTTCAAGGTAGGTCGAATACAGTGCGAGTTTAAGTGTGTAATTTGCGATTTCAGCGATTGCACGATTATCGGCAATCAGAGCGATACAGAACAGAAAACGAGAAATTCGACCGAAACAATAGTCACCGTCGAATTTCGCCGAGCAAAGCTTCGAGAAGGCAGTTTGTAATCATTCGCGGTACGAGTTCCAAGAGAAGAAAAAGAAAATTAAATTTAATTGATCGCAGCGTGGAAAAGGAAAAGACCGGGTGCAGAAAGAATCGACTTGGTTCGTTTCGATAGGGGTTCTTTCGTAATTCTATTGGCTGGTAGCGATGATATCGAGAGTCTCGCGAATCACTTGATCGAACAGTATAGTAATCGATAGGCAGAGAATCTTTTAAATATCTTGGGGTTGGGTAAATATTATTTCTTGCATCGACTAGAGAATCAAATATTCTTTTGAGGGAGGAATAAAATTCGTGCGATTTTTCTTTTCATTACATTTCATAACGCCTTCTTTATGAAATTTAAGCAAGGCTGCAGAGGTCTACGAGTCTCTGTGGAACAAAGGACAGCCCGGAAGTGGTTTTCACGCTTCGCGTAGGGCAATTTTTATACGAGTATAAAAACTCTGCGTTTTGGACGATACTCGATTTCGTCGAGTCACCCAAGTGCTCTGGAGAGATATTTTACTATGAAACACCTGTTTTTATTGGGTCATTTTTGCTCATTTCTCGGTGAACAATAACAAGTAACGTTTCTGGATTATTTAAAGAAAAATCGCAAGAACCACGTTTCCACGTCTGAGAAGCTTCTCCCAGAGTCGATTCTTTCATTGTAAAAACGTCCCGGGGTCGAAGCTGCTTCGATAACTCTGATCCGTGGCGTTAAATCAGTGCTGTTCGGCAAATTGCCTAGCGTAATCGTAAAAGAAAAAAAAATAGAAGTACGGTGTGCATGGACCAGTCGTGCGTACACAACTCGTAAAGAAGCCGCGTTTTTCCCTCGCGCTCGCACCGTACACCAGCTCACCTGACCAGACAACAAATAGTAATCGTTTCGAAATATAAGGAGGAGCGAGGAATGCGAGAGATACTTTACCTGTGATATCGTTGGTCAGGTTGTTGCCATTGCTGGCCGTGTAGCCGTTGAGAACGCCCGCGATCGAGTCCGAGCTGGCGGTGCTCTTCGCGGGCGACGTCGAGGCGCCCGACGACGCCGACGAGGACGAAGACTCCCCGCTGAGGGAGATATTGCTGCGCATATGATTTTTCGCGTTTGGGGTGGTGGGTGGGGCATCGGGAGGGCCAAACAGGCGTTTGTATGAATCATTACCGGGCTTGTTGCGCGGCGTTTCGTTGCCGTTGTTGCTGTTCGGACCGTCGCCGAACAACGCCGAGCCTAGCTGCGATTGGTTGTGGTTCTTCACGCGGCGTGGGCTTGTCTCATCCGGAGCGGCGCCAAAAATGTCGCTGCTTCCGCCACCAGGGGGTTTCAACACCCTGAAAATAAAATCCAACGTCAGAACACGAACCTGATCACCATCGACAATCGTCAACCCCTTGCAATCATGAGGCTACCTCACTCCTCATCGAGTCTTATTAATTAAAAAAGAGACCTGAACGTGGGCATTGCTTTTGGAACAACAGTAGACATCCTACAAGCATTCGGGCCGAATTTGATTCGTGTGATAAATGATTTCGATCGAGTTTACGAGCCAAAAGCTTCGTCCCAAAGTACAGCATTTACCACAAGACAAAACGAGGGGTACCGAAAGCTTTAAACTCGAATTTCTCGAGCTTGTAGCCCCCATTTTGGCAAATGTTTTCGTAGTACTGGGTGGTGTCCTACCTACATGCTTTCCGGAACGACGCTCCGGATCGTCCAATAGCTTTTTATCCTAAAACTCACTTAGAAACCGATGGTTCGTTACGGGAGCAACCACTCGAGCGACGTCCCTCGTTAGTCATGCGTGCAGTCGGTCAGTTTCACGCGCGGAAGGGTTGAGAACCTTTGTTCTACGGCGGCGGTCGCCGACGACACGGGAACACGACTCCGTCCCCCACGGCGGAAGGACTCGATCCAATTTGCTCGATAAATCTGCGCTGATTTCTACGTAACGAGGGTCGTGTCTCTCGGGCTGGATGCGTGGCACGCGCTTTGTCGCGTGCGCGTTGCGTGGCCAAGGAGGGAAACGGAGGAGAAAAATAACGAAAACAAAAAGGGATCGAGCGACGGGGAGGGGGAACCAGGGTTCGCCAGGACGATGAGTCGCCCGGCAATTAAAAGAATGGAGTCCATTCTTTCTCCGCCGAGCGGACGAGGGACGGAAGGGGTGTGGCGTGCGCGTCGTTTTAAAGGCTGCTTCGTTAGGAAGACGGTTCAATTAACGAAGAAGCCGCTCTCGCGCGTGGTGATTTTTTTTTCTTTTTTAGTTTCCCTCGAGGGAAGAAGCTATCTCCGCGAGTTCGCGAGCAGAATGTGGGCGAAGGAATGACTCACGCGGCGGCGTTACACGATAAATCTCGATCGATACGCGAGGCGCAAGGATGAAGGATATTCTTGCCCGTTTAGCCTTTGGTAGCCTGGCGTTCGAAATGCGTACAGAGTGACTCAGAAGTAGCTTCGGGCTTAACATTTACTTGTTTTGTATTTTAATCGAAATTCATGAGAATTTATTTTTCTAGTTCCAGAGTGTGAAGTCCTGTCAACCACACGACGGATTATGAATTGTAAACATAACGGTAATCATCGAGATTATTACTATTATTAGAAGCTCTTAATGGTCGTTAAACGTCGAGGTTATTGACTGGTGCGATAGGCTTCAATTTCGAAACACACAGAAAACAACATGTTCCTGTGCGTCAAGCGACAGTATGTTAGTTGTCTATGCCGTGGTATTAGCGTCGGTACTGAGATACACCCTATCTGCATTTCAAGCATAAACTAAGGACTATCTGAGTTAGTGGACGTTGCATAGGATATCATAAACTAGTATAACCAGTTGCAAAACAGTTAGGACGAATAAATTAAACTATTTTTAGAGCCCTACGAGGCACGTGGGGTGTTCTGATTTTGAAAAATGGAAAATTGATGAATCGAACATTTCCCTTCCTTTGTTATAGAAAAATTTTGAAGCTACGTTTACTACGTACTTTGTAACTTTACGTTTATTTAAATGATTGAAATTAACAGAAACAATTGCCGTTACAACTACTATATGCTCCAACCGGTTTCACGAGCCAGCGTTCACTTCTGACGAACCGCGACGAAAAGGAACAAAGACGATTTTCTTAGAATGTTGCTCGTAAGACCTCGGAGAGGAATAGTTCCAACGAAATGGCAGTCTAATTCCCGTGTAATTGGTGCACAACAGATAAATGTAAGATGGGATCGAAAAAGAAGAATGTTTGAAGTTAATCGACCAGAAATTATGAGCCAGCACAGTAAGAAAACGGATGATGTGGATCACTTTAATTAATAACTATCCTTGATCTTTATGTAGAACACACTGGACATCTAAAAAGTGGGCTCTGTCAATGATTTGTATCCAAGGCTCTCAAGTCCTGCTTTGGACAAATACTTTTTTCGGTCGTACAGCGTCGCAAATGTTGAAAGCAAGTCCGGGGGAGCCAATGAAAGCGAGAGTATTATGACCACAACGTAGATATATCTTGAGGAAGGAGGGCCCCTGTTCGTTACATAAGGAAAAGAACAATAGGTCGTCAACCAAACTACTGGACCGGGATTCGAACCTGGTTCTTTCCTTCAGACACAGACGTTGATCTACCGATTGAACGCTTCAGGTCTCGTTACGACAGGGCTGTACCTGGCAACAGTATTCTTAGGAAATATGAAATCGAACAGTCCCATCGCTATCTGCACCCACGAACCTTCAGGCTCCATTCTCGAGCCTTCCTACTAATGATACACGCGCGCAACCCTCCAGAAACAGATTACCCAATTACGTTTAATTAGCATTCTTCGCGAACGCATTAGGCGCCGTTGTCCGCCATCTTTCGTCCCGGAGCAAGAACTCGTTAACTCGCGATCGATCAAATAATCGTTTCGGTCTAATTAACGACAGAACCGCGGATCGTCCCCTCCCGTCCCGGTGGGACGTATCATAGCGCACAATGTTTCATCGGGTCGACGATAAATCAAACGCTTCCTCGTTACGGTGTCGCGGATAATTGAACGTCCGACGCGGTTTGATGGAAACGCGGACTCGAGGCTGCTCGTCGAGGAAGTTCGATGCTCAACGACCATGCCAAAGAACGCGCTTGATCCGCGCTCCGTTTAACGCGAAAAAGAAAAAAAAAAGAAATGGAAAAAATCACCGCGAGTGGTCCCGTAATACGACCAATAACGAAACCATCGATCCTAATTGCCCAATTACCGGCTCGATCCGACGGCCCAGATTTCTCCATCGCGGAAAAGTCACGGTTTGGCAACCCAGGAAGCCCCGAGACGTCGGGACGGACGTCTCCGTGGCCGCGGCCGTCCGTCCGCTAACCCACGTATGACGAATCCGCGCAGAGAGATGGGGGAGTAAATAACGAGGATAATCAATCGACCGTAGGAAGCGAAGTTGTCCTGGAGGGGACAGGATGGGCGCGCCGGGAAATATGCTGGATGACGTACGGCGACGCCTCTGCATGTTCCTTTCGACGCTCCACCGTACCCAGACGCGATCGCGTTAATAAGACCGTCAACCTGTTTTACGCGCTACGGCGACGCGTCTTCAATTATCCGCGACCAGGCGCCGGTGCTTTAATACGTGTATTGACGCCCGTAGATAAGAGGTCCTCCAGCATGAGCTATTAACCGGTTAATGTCGCGATACCGATCGAGCGCGAAGACAAAGTGTAATGAGATCAAACACTCCATATACTTGGGACACGCGTCCACGGCGTACAAACACTGTAACAGACTGTTAGGTTTAACCTTTGAAGTGGCGACACGGCTATTTAAAGGCCGATAGATATAACGAGGTTTAAGCGAGTTAACCCCCTTTTACAAATCAAATTCACCCCGATCAATTACAGTGTTCATTTTTTGTCATTTTAGTTAGCGATTCCTTTTCTCTTCGTCGTTTTAATTAATTTGGACACCCTCTGTAGATTAGTAATATTGGAAGCAGAGATTTAAATCTCAAGTTGAACAATTTGTCTTGTTTTTTCCCCGTTTGTCTCCGCGACTTCCTCGTGCACGGATCTACAGTTTCCTCCGACGTTTCCCATGCCACATTAGATCCCCGCTGCGCGGTAGATTTTGCTTGACTTTCCGTGTACACCGTGTGGGCTGTGACCCCGGTTGCTGAACCCACTGTACAAGCTTGTAAAACCATAAGCCCGATCTTCGCGAAGAGCCACCGAGCGCTAGTAAACTTCCATGATTTACTGAAAACTAAGAAGCTTGTACCAGCGATGTTGCTTCTAATAGTACGAAGTTGAAACGACTGGGAATGGAAGTAGAAGATTATTAAAGATTATTAAAGCTGAATCGCGAAGCACAATGCAGTTGAATTTATTTGGGACAAAAATGCACGAACTTTCGACCCAATATTTTTCGAGAACGTATCGTTTGCGAGATCTGGCACGGTACGAAGGCAGATCGAACGAAGATACGCTTACGCGAGGTAACGCAAGCGTCGTTTATTACATAGTGCGCGATGTTAATGTTGGCCTAAGGTGGCGCCAATTTATGTCAGCACGCTCAATCAGCAACCGTGTAGCTAAATGGCTCCGCATTCTGATAGCTGTCCTTTACTGCATTATACCAGGCGCAAAACGACAATAAGCGACGGATACGTGGATCCTGGTAGGCCTGAAGAGGCTGCGGGAAAAGTGGACCAGGACACTTTCGAAAATAATAATCGTTAGCGTCCGCGAATCACGGCGACAATGTCATCGCGCGGATCCGGCGTAAACCGTGTTAACGCCTGAAACGCGATTATGTTTGCAAACTCGAGAGTGCGACGACTTTTCCGCGTCATGCTCGTGTCTTCGATGCAATAACGCAATTAGATTAGCGATTTGCTGGGAACACGACGATCTCTTAACCGATACGTTCCCTAAAATCGCGGGTTCTCACGCGCGAACTAATCGAAAGAACGCTGAAAATGGGACGCCGATCATCTACTTTACAAGCCATAAAGTCTGATGGACGAAATTAGAGCACGCGCATTATCCGACTTGACATGAAATTTTGCGTGGGTGAAAACGCTGCGCGTCACGGAGGTATTCTTATCATCGCCCCATGAAAGAAATTACGTAACGGGCCGCAGAAAGTTTTGCAATTCGATCGAGGACGTAGCGGGGCTTCCGGATTACACGGAATCCCTGGCGAACGACTGGTACGAAATTTTATTCGTGGCAATAAAAGAGAGAGACAAGGGTCGTACCATCGTTCGCGACATCACCCTCGCGTTTGGACGTCGTCTTGTCACGGTAATCCTTGTTTCCTTCGTCGACGAACGACGAACAACGTCGAACAAAGC